CTCTTCCTCTGAAGAAGCTGTGCTGGAACATCCGACTCGCAGGAAGCGAGTAAAAGTAAAATCTCCATATGGCTAAATCAGTTAGTTCTTGCCGCTCAGGGTCAGTTTTCAGCTGGAAAAAGTTCCTCTACTAGAGTGCAGTTAATATATCTAGGTTTCATAAGACAGTTTTATCACATGTAGATAATACTGTACATCACAACCTGCTGATATAAAAAATGTTTGAAGGAGAAAAGAATTATAAAATCCATTTGTGTACAATAAGCAGAATCTGAGCAAATAGTTTTGTATCCAGACTTGCTTGATTTATAAACTGCTTTGAGTCTTTCAGATTAAAGTTACCATGTATATTTATAGTGTTAATAATTTTAGAAGTTAAGATGACTGTGTAATCTGAGGTAACCTTTATCTACGTAAAACGAAACACCAGTGCTTGCTTAAGTAGATGAAAGTAATAGTGGAGTTGGAATTGCAAGATAAGCTGGGAATTCTCTGATTAGATAGGTCTCCAGAAGATGTCAGTTCACTAAAACCAAACCTTTGGGGATGTATGTATCAATTTCAATTGGACTTGGACAAAAGGGAGTATCATCTGCCTGAAAATTAACTGTGTCTTGTGTAAGACTACTTACGTGCATGTTTCTGCCCTGAGTAGTTCTTGCCAGAAGCACCTCAGTCTCTAACATCCCAAGAGTGAGACAGGCCTGCAAGGGGCACAGAGACAGTCTCCTCTGATCCAGTGAACGCTGGTCTAAAGTAGAGTAACTCCAAGAGGAATTTCCCAAGAAACTGGCCTTCAGTCTGCAGAGAGCTCCATGACTACCCTGCAATTAGTGACAAAGCTCCCTAGCTCTAGGGGCCCATGCAAGCTATAGTGTCCGCTCTGTGTGAACGCATGTAGCCATGTGTGTGCGCGCACACCTGTGTGTGTGCCCACGCATATTTTTTTGTAGCATCATTTTTGAAAGTGCCTCTTGTTTGTGTGACGATTGGGAAGTGCTGCAGAAGTAAATAGGACTGCCGCTTTGTCCATGCATGTGTTTGCAGGTGCAAATTGCTATTTACTCCCAAGACTAACAGCTTAATTTGTGCTGTGCTAGAGAGGACCCTAGGGAGGACTATGCAAGGGTGACATGTTGCCTAGCTAATGTCAAAAGCTCTGTGTATTTAGTCCCCACTTGCTTTTGAAAAAAATACCTAAAGCTACTACTCACCCTTCCCTCTTTGGGACGGTGTGGCCAAGTGCTAGTGTAAGGCAGCGCTGCAGGCGTGCTGGGGAGCGCTGCCAGGCCCGCTGGCTGGCTGTGCTTGGGTCCATTTGCAGCCCTAGGAACCGGTTTTTCAGTGCAGCAGAGAAAACACACCCCAGGCAAATGCCTAGCACCTCCCTCAGCACACCACCTGAGGCTCTTTCTGAAAGCTGCCATGAAGGGGCTGAGCGCTCTGTTCGGCGTCAGGGAGGAAGCGAGGCAGGTGGCCGCAGCAGCCAGCCACGACAGCCGTGAGTGAGCGGGGACGGGGCAGCACGGGGCACTGAGGCGAGGCCTGGCTTTAAGTTGGTAACTGAGAGAGTATCGCTCTAGGAAGCAAATAGCTGGAAGCACCAAAGGGCTTTCTGTGCCTCTTGTACTGTGCTGGGAGGGGAGAGCAGATGGTTTTTAAAATCACTCGTCACTAAACTTTGTGATGGGAGTCAGCCTGGGAGGAGGGGAGTTCTCCTTTCACCTTCACCTGCTTGAGCAGTCAGTCCCAGGTAGGCAGCTCTGCTTCTGCTTCTCCCCAGGCCCCTGGGGTGTCTGAGACCTGCCGTTGTGCTTTGGTGTCCTGCGGAAATAAATGGGGAAGCAGGAACCTAGGTGGGCAGAGCTAGCTGTGGGCTGCTGCTGCACCTGGCCACCGTTTACTCCAGATCCAGCCGAGGCCCAGGCCAGTGTAAAGGCATGAGGAGCTGCAGACCGTGTCCAAAGGCAACGGGCTAGGTGGGAGTGGGGCAGCACACAAACTGAGGTCAGGGTTGCCAGCGCTGTCGGGTCCGTCTGAATCTCCCTTTTATCTCAAGCAAAGAGCAACGTGAATTGTGAACAAAAGGAAGATAAATGTGAGTTGTTTTTTATATAGTAAAAAAATAGCAATGAGTACATGTAGCACCTTTATTATTACTGCTCTGCTAGATCTGGGACCAGGAGTTGGATGTGGCATGTCCATCTTCCAAAAACCTGGTCCTGCAAACCTGGTCTGACACCCCACTTTTAACTTCACTCCTCAAATTGTCTGAGGGTGTTCACCAGGATTAGTCATTAAGTATGTGTAAACAGGCCCTTAGTCCTGGGGCAGGGAGAGAGGAAGTTCTGGTCTCATGAAACTCAGTGGTGTGACTCGGTGAACTCTAGATTTCCTTTTGCAGATCAGTTTGACAAGCGGTGTGTTGCAGCGTGGGCTGCAAACAGTGCAAATGGGTTATGTGTAGAAACTGAATGGTAGTTGTTAACCCCTACTGTGACCGTGTCCTGTGATCTCAATGTGATAACCAAGCTCTGGTCTTCTGGCGCATGCTTCCTGTTTCCAGATTTGCAAAGAAGGCTGAAGAGAGCAGATAAGAAAACATATGAATGAAACATCACTGTTAGATTCAGTAGATAGTTTTCCCATGAGTTCTTTAAATCGGAACATGATTATTTCAGAAAACGATTCTCGTGACTTAAAACTATAACCACTTTGCTCTAGTCTTTTTTTCTGTATGAAAAAAAGCATGGAAATGGAGAGAATTTTGAAAGAAGAAATAATGTTAAACATGATTTAATTTTTAGAAAATGTAGAGTGAAAATAACTTGGACTATAGTGTTGTCATCATTTTTGTATTTTTCCTCATTAGAACTCTTCAGCCCATCCAAGTTCATGTTTTAGTCTGTTCTTTTCAAGATCCTGACAGATTTCATATTGTGGATACCACAAGAGGAAATTCAAAAAAGGGAGGAGGGGAAAAGAAAAAAGATGTACTACATAAACTTCTTACTCTGTCTTTAAATACTGAAATATCTGATTCGTGTTTTGATTTAAGTGGAAGTTGTTCTTATTTGTTGTATCCTGAAAGGAGGATCAAGGCCACTTACACTGAAATAGCAGTTAAATATGAGAAGAGAAAAACTGAAGATATTTCAAAGCTTGAGTGTCTGTTGAAGAGCGTTAAACAATTTAGTTCTCTGCATCTTTTTGCTTCCTTGCTTTTCCAGAAGAGGAAAAAATATTGGGTAGTCAACACACTGTTAAATCCTGCTATGTATTTTTTGTAGGTAGGACTGTCTACAAATGGAATCAACTGATAAAAATACGTTTTTAATTAGCTCAAAAAGAAAAATTGAAAAGGAAATATAATTATTTTGATGAAACTTGTATATCAATGAGCCAAAAATTTTGTATAAACCTATGGAAAACAAAACAAAAACAATAGTCACAAATGGGTTATGTATTGCTGCTGCTACTTGAAAATAGAGTGACTGCTGGTAATGCAAGGAACACCAAGTTCTGGAAACCACAGCTCAGACAGAAAGCTTCCAGAAGTCTGTCATGTGACAGTTCTATACTTTTGTAACTTCAGGCATGAAAAAATCCTTTTGCAGAAGCAGCAACAGGTTGTGCAGAAGGTTAGCACAGCGGTGTGCCTGGAATGCCGTTTTCTTTCTTCCTGAATTAAGAGGTATTGAGAGAGGTTAGAAAACATCATACCCTGAGCAAAAAGTAGTCTTTTTAACTGTGTACGTCCGGTTCATCACTGGTGAACAGGAGAGAGAAGAACAATCGCTAATTCCTTTTCAGAACTGCAACAGAACTGTCCTTTCCAGTGCACACACCGTAAAGAAACATTGCTTTCTCTTGTTCCTTGAAGGTAGTGTAAATAATCTATTGGGATTGTTCCTGAATGTCCTGAGTTGCATGTGTTTATCTCTGCACCTTCATGTACGGTACGCGTACAAGTGCTAGTCGGCAGCCACTGGGAATGAATGTGACCTAGTTATGACTAGACCCAATTACAGGTAGTTGGTGACCTACATTCATTTTTTGGGGGGTTTGTTTTTGCCACAAATGTTCTTTGAACAAGGTATCCTGTGACCATTGGTTTACCTGTGTTTGACGCCAAGGCAGTGGAAATCTCTGGCAGGTACATGTTTTTGGGTGTAGGCTATGAAAACTACAAGTGAGACATATGTTCTGCAAAGATCACTGCTCACAATGCTCATTTGGTTGTCAGTCATACTCCTTGTCACAGATGCGAGTTTTATGGAACTCTCTTTACATACAGTTTGTCTGAAAACTTGGAAATAACACATTTTAGATATGGAATATTTGAAGAAATAGGATGCGTAGTGGTAACTTTGGTTAAAATCTTTGCATGAATCTGTACAAATATTCTGTGGAAATATTGCTACCACTGTGTTCAATTTTTACGGATCTTCCTAAGGCATCGTCTATCAGCCACAGTTGGAGGCGGGATATTGATGCAAATGGACCTTTGACCTGATCTTTGTAATAACGTGGCAGTGTTTTGGTGAAAGCCGGGTGACTTTTTCAACTGAAGGGAAGGAGGGTATTGCCTTTAATATTTGAAAGCTAAGACAATAATCATAGCTATAGCAATACTACTATTTAAATATTTCGTGTATATGCACATTTTTGTTTGCAGCTGCTTGTTTGCTTGGTCTACGGCCCCTGTTTTGTAAAACGACGTATTCTCTGGTTTGAGTAGAGTTTTGGGAGGGTGATTCTGTTGTTTGAGGTATGTGGATAGTGTCACAGAACAGCCTGGAAATAGCTTTGGACCTGTCCGGTTTAATTTTTCACTTGTTTTGTGCAGCACAACTGTGATTATTCCCACTGAGATTATAATCATGAGTAATGTGTAAGATGCAATTAAGTAAATGGCATGCTGATTTTCTTTAGTATGCTTTGCAGTCATACTGCCTCAAGCAGTATGCTCATTAGCTGTTAATAAACAGAATGCAGTAGGACAGAACTCGCATGAGATCTCTCTAAGGAACAAATGGTTGCTGCAGTTTCTAGTTTGACAGATAGTGCTGTCCTCTTTGTTGATAACACTGGTTAAAGGCATTCTTAGATATCGTCTCCAGTGTATTTCAGACTGAAAGCTAAGTGATTAATTTTTTTGACTGTGATATGCTAGTAAATTAAGAGTAGCTGATAACATTTTTTGCAACTAATATTCTAATTTCATCCAAGCATTAAATGTTAAGGTAGAACATGCTGATAGAGAAATACTCTGACTTCCAGATTAGCTAAAGTGGTTATCAGACTCATTTTCCAAAGTTAACTTAAATATTATGTATTTTGTTACAGCTGTACAAATGCCTGTTGTAGCTACTTTAGTTGACCAAAGAGATGTTCTGTTTTGGGTTGAGGTGTTAAAGGAAGGTCTTGGCAGAACAGTGAATTACCCATTCTGGCCAAATTTTAAGTTCAAGTACTAATCTTTTTTCCTGTAAACCTCCTGCTGTTTCAGTTGGGTCATACCATTTGGTTACTAGTGTATATTGTTATGTGTTATGGTGGTGTATTCTGCTGTAAAATAGAGCAACTTTTTCCAAGGATATGAAATAAATTCTGTAGTTTGTACTGTTGGCTGTTACATTCGTGAAATGCCTTGGGATCCATTTTCATAGCAGGAGCTTCATAAATGAACTCTCGTTACCATGAGCAATAATGATAGTTTGTGCTGTAAAAAGTCTATTTGCACTTAAAATGTGAAACATTTGCCAGATGTCTCTAGAGGAAAGAGTGCAATCCTAGAACGCTTCTATGATGAGAAGCAAATGTTTCACGTAAAATATTAAATCAGGACAAATAACAGAAGGTAAGAACAGTATCATCACTTAAGTTTGTTATGACTATTTCTTTAGTAATATACCTTTTTTTGTCATGTTTTTCACAGTATTGCCAGATGAGAGAGAATTTCAGTATGCTGCTAAAATGAACAATTTGGAAACCATGGAAAAATTATTTAAAAAGAATGTTAACATAAATGCTGTAGATACCGTGAGTATGAAGTGTCTGACAGATCAGTGGTCTGAAACGTGACTCGTGCTGGGCTGCGTAGGGGTATCCCGGTGTAACTAGTGCAGTCAGCTGCAAGGTGATGAGGCTAAGGATCCCCTTCTAGAATCCACCTAAGTAGTATTTCATGCGTCAGGTTAGACTCTGTAGGATTTCATGCAGCAAAGCTCACAGGCCTTTGAATTTAGCCACTAGTTTGTGCGTAAAATTGGGAACCAAGGGTGTCTCAATTGTGGTCCCTGCTCTAATATTGGGTCTGTGTTCTTGGGTGATTAATTTCTTTGTCTCAGATTTCCCCATCTTCTAGGTTGGGAAGACTCACAGACACTTTTAAGAATGAATTTATGCTACTAAAATTACAGATTTAAAATGCCAGTGAAGTGATACTGTTCAGTACGTGCAGAAACATAAAGCATTTGCCATGTCTTTTTGGCTTCAGGTTGAGATCAGAGTTCAGATTTGCCATAAATAATAAGAATGAATATCTAACACGCTGATACCAACTCTAGGCCTAAAATCTGAGGTAGCGTATTTCACGGTATGAAAATATAGTTCTCTGTTCCACGTTAGAGGCCATTTGACAGCAATTCAGTTGTCTTGATATTTAGTCAGAGAGTTACCAGAAATGGAGAACAGTTTGTTCTCAATAGCTATGTATAAATCATCTAACCATGAACATCCTAATACTACTTAACCATGGCTCCTGAAAAAACTTGCTTCCTATGCCCACATGCGTTTTTCACCACTGGGAATCAAGGAAATGCAATGTACAATTGCTTTCCTTGGTTTTTTTTTTTTTTTTTTTTTTTAAAAAAAAAGGGGGGGGAGAGACCAAGAACTCTTTTTGTTAAAGTTACCTTGAACAAAGATAGTGTTCCTGCCAATTACATAGTACTGTAAATACGTAGAAAGTAACAGCAGAACCCACTTACTTAAAAATAGTTCTTGCCTCCCTATTCCTTTCCAGAATACAGAGAATTAAACTGAATACTGTTCTAGTCCAGTAATTTGAGTCTTTACTGCCTCATCCCTAAATCAAATCTATCCTATAAGAGAGTTACCAGTGTAGTTACTTGGATATTGTGTATTGCTTGTTCCTAGTGGAGACTGTCCTGGCAAAATTGTTCTTTTGTTCACACTACGTATTCCACCCACAGTATTTTCAGGCAAAATAGGCTAGGCTGCCAAAAGGTGAATTTGTTGATATAACTGTTTCTATGCTAAGAGGCTTTCTGGCATAAGTTTGACAGCCATCAGTCCCAGCTTTTTATGCTTCTAACTCGTATAGCTGTAAATTTAACCTTATACATGGATACGTCAACTGATCTGCGTGGAAGCTCAAGAAAACAAATCCAAACTCACTTTTAAAGTTAATTGGTTAAATCTTGTTATATCCTTGTAAGGGAACTTTCAGTGAATCATGTTAAACCCAATTATGGTTATTTTAATTGTAAATGAAGCTCTCTTCACTATGGCTTAATGTGGTTTATCCAATCCATTTTAAATTCATACCTTGACGTTACCTAAATGAAAAAAATAATCAAGTGTTTCTGGTAAGCCTTGAGCCTATTCGCAAGTGTGAAATTACTGGCTATGTTTTCATGGTGGAAACCTTCATTTACATAAATGTCAGTTTGGAAAGGTGACTAATACTGAGTGAAGGAGAAATCTCATCATGCTTTGAAGAGATAGTCAAAAGCAAGCAGGATACCAAAATCAAACCTGATTGCAGAGATCTAGTTCTTTTTCAAATCAAACTGAATAATTAAATAGTAAATGTGAATGCATTTTGCATTGCATGCATCTCTTCTAGGCAGTGTGTGATTACTTAATGCCTCTTTGACCCTTCAGTGAATTTCAGTGAAAGGATTACGATAGAGTAGCATGGTTCTGGTTCTATTAGAAATCTTTAAGATCAATATTTAAATTCTATTCAAGCAAACCGAAATGCAAATGAAGGCTAAGTCTGACTGTTGCTGGAGAAATATACCAATGTATATTTGTTAATAAGAAAATAATTCAGAAATCCTGATCATCTGCATAATGACAAGAACTCTGTTATGGACCTGTCAACCAGAGCTTTGTTTATTTCAGCTGAAGCGCACTGCCCTTCATTTTGCTGTTGCAAGAAATCATGTATCTGCAGTGGATTTTCTTCTCCATCACAAAGCTAGACTTGACATTGCAGATCAGGTAAGCAAAGCTATTTTTTGTAAAATAATTTTACATATTTTGATTCACATATTATAGGAACACATTAGGGAAAAATAAAGGTATACTCCCTTGTGCTTTTCCTTTTACAAAGTTACATGCTTGCTGCAAATGCTTCAGTTTGTTTCAAAACTGCACACATTCACATAAAAGAAACATTGTTAGTATAAAAAGCATAGCCCAGACTGTTGGCTGTGTTGAATACTTGTGTGAACACAAAGGCAGTTGAAGCCGCTTGTACAAACACGCTTTCTCTGTAGCAGCTGTGTATTGATCTGAAGCCACATCTGTAAAAAAGCAATCCCATTAGATCCAAGGATCGCTAGGAGCTCAGAAGGTGACAGCCTTCCCTCCTTCCCTTTTTTTGTGAGTAGCTTAATACAAAACTATTACCTACTCCGCAGCCTCCAAGACATTAAAGGTTGAGTAGTTTGTGGCTAATTTAGTTGGGAAGCATGGTAACGCATAGTGATGATAGTGGTGATGCAGGATTTGATTCAGAAGTTAAAGCCAAATTAGTGGTATGTTATTAATAAACAGACTGTTCAGACTAAGAGTTTTACAATGAACTGCATGTACCTTTTTTCCAGAGAAGCTGTTTGTTTCTTTTTTTGTATTTCTGCCAGAGCAATGAAAGCAGAAAAGTAGATGTATCATTTACCTTTGTGTGTGTGCATGCGCACGCTTTTTCTTCGTTGTTGTTGGTTTTTTTGTGTGTGTGTGTGTGTGTGTGTGTTTGGTTATCTCTTCTTATCCAGTGTATGCTGCAGTGTTTCAGTGGTGAGTAAGGCAAAACCCAGGTTGAAGGGTGGGGAAGAGGAAGCTTCCTAGTTTGTTTTCACTTTCTGTTGGATTGAAAATAAGACGAGACCTGTCCATCTCAGTTACCAGCAGTTTCTGGCTTGGGCACTCACCTATAATATGGGAAACCCGTGTCCTGTTTAGCTTAGTTTAATTTGCTCTGGAACATTATCCTGAGTTTCCCATCTTGTGAGTATCTTACACGCAGAAGGAAGGTGCTGAAACATGTTTTGAAGAAATATGACTATCGTTCTGGGTTCTATCAGGTCCTAAGTAAATCTTGTACTGTTGTAACCAACGTTTTGGTAGCTCTTTAACTAGGTAATGATTTCCCTTTTGTCTGATAATCTGAAAGACATTGCGTGAATAATAACAAAATACTCTGAAATTAATAGGCTACGATATAGAGTAGTTCTATAAGAAACGGACATTGTTCTTCAAGTAGTACTGCTCTGTAGCAACAGGTAAGAAAGGGGGTTCCTGGATCTTTTGCACAGTATGTTAATGTGATTTTATTCTATAGCTATTGTAATTTTTTCTCCATGGCAAATTATATGTCAGTGGCTATCTTCTAGCTTTGTTGAGGCAATGAGGTGATTCAAAGCATTTTGTGGGTCCCTTATTACCCGTAAATACCCATACCCAATAGGGCGCACTGAAAGCAGGTTAGAATTCCGGCACTCTTATGTTGGGGTCCCATTCAACATGTCACTCAGAATCTCACTCTAACTCAGGTTTACAGTTTTAAATAACAGATGTTGTTAATCATCTTTTCTTCCTTCAAAGACACTTATTCCATCATGATTAGCTTACAGAGGTTAATTATTATGGCATTACATATTATATTTGACAGGGGTTCATGTGCTCTTTGGCAATCAGTCTCGTCTTGCAATTGAGAAGAAACAGAACGAAGATACTATGACTTTTTCTTACCCAGTTTCTGCCAGAATTTTTGTATTAATAGCCATAGGGTTTTAAACATTCTTAAGCAGTATTGGCCCCAGTATTGACCCCTGGGTTATACCACTAGTGACTGGCCTCCAGCTGGACTTCATGCCGCTGATCACAACTCTTTTGAGCACAGCAGTTTACCCAGTTTTCAGTCCACCTCACTGTATGTTTGTGCCTCATCAGTTTGTCTGTTAGGATGTTGTAAGAGACAGCGTTGAAACCTTTACTAAAGTCGAGATAAACAACATTCGCTGCTCTCCTCTCATCCACTGAGCTAGTCATCTCATTTTAGAAGGCTATCAGGTCTAATTCCTTTTTTCTTGTTGGTCACAATTCTGTCAAATTCATACCCAAAAGAGGCGTCTTAACGTTGTTACCTTAGGCAATTTTGGTGTAATAGGGTGTTACTGATGCAGCTATGTATGGGAAGGTGACCTTGCATCCCAAGACTTCCTTCTGAACCTTCATGCTTATTACGTTTCACCTACATTGCATGCTCTTCTGGACAAAGTTTTCTTTCTTTAGCCTTGACTCCTGTACCTAATTCTAATTAAATACAAGTAGTTTCTTATGTTATACACAGCTCGCATGCTGGAGCGACAGTATAACCGATTTTGTGCTCACATGGTATCTGTCCTTGAATAGTTTTCATCACAATCCTGACTCCCATCAGTGGCTTTAGCTAGTTTGGAGGCCTGGTGTTCCAGCAGGACCTCTTGCTTACAATATAAAATGTCTTTTAATCCTTTATTCTGTTATGCTGGTCTATTGAAACAATATCTGATAGTTATATCTGTGGAGATACTAACTAGTGTGTTTGTGGTTTTTATTTATTTATTTCTGAAAATATGACTTACAGAGAACTTTCTGCTGGTACTGGGAAAATAGTACCCCTATTTCCCAGGCAGTTTAGCATTTCTAACACGTGCCAACTAGTTCTAAAAGCTGTGATCCAAGAAGGTAGCTGCAGAAACTATTACAGGTACATTTTAAGGGCTTTGTGCTGTCAGTGCTTAATTATATGCTGAATTTTGAGCGTGTTTGTAGTCCTGCTGCAGCTGGGCACATGCAGTTGTGAGTTGAAGATGTGAATAAAAGATGATCATGAGATTTTTCTTTTTTTTTTTTTAATGATACTGTTCTAAATATTATGGTCTGAAATTGAAAGTCTCTTTCAAATTACCCTTTTTAAAATTAATGTTTAATTTTGCTCTCCTGTTTAGTTCAAAAATTCTTTCAGGGCAGGTTTATAAGCCACAGTAAGAAATTTTCTGTCTAGAAATCCTCATCTTAGAGTGGGATTAATCTTTCTCTGGAGATGCCCTCCTGTTAAGAAGAGGAGGAGCCTGAACATTTAGCTAAGTCTTGCTGCATGACATTTAGCTTAATTTAAGTGAGATGAGTCTCAGTCACAGTGCCGGATGATAATACTAAATGACATTCTAGTGCCTGCAGAGCAGGACCCGATCATATGCTGAATTAATCAACAAGACTTTAAAAAAAAAAAGAAGAAGAAGAAGATATGAGATATTTTGGTGGTAATTTCTGCCTTTTTCATTTTTTTTGAAGCACGGCCTGACAGTGATTCATCTTGCAGCTTGGTCTGGAAATCTGGATATAATGCGAAAAGTAGTTAAAGCAGGTGCTGATCAAAAAGCTAAGAATGAGGTTTGTTGATGATAAATTTTAATCAACTCTAAACATGTTTATGCTGAGAAAAATTAAACTTGTTCTTACAGAGTTGCCTTACATTTTTTAGGAGGGAATGAATGCACTGCATTTTGCAGCTCAGAACAACAATGTTAAAATAGTCGATTATTTTCTCCAAGATCTTCATCTGAATGACTTGAACAAGCCTGATGGGGTACAGTATGTTACTTTCTGTTTATTTCTTTGATGTTATCTAATGTAGAATATAGGCCTACATGTAGCTATCCTACATGGTGAAGAGTGTAGGTGCACCAGCTTTTCAGCAGTGCAAGGACCTTGGCCTCACTGGATTTTCTGTGCTTGTGTTTCGGACCTCACTGTGTTGGGATCTCTCTTTGAAGGTTTGCCTAGCTAAGCAGGATGTTTTCCCTTGACATGGGGAAAAATGTAGGATCTGCCCCCAAAATAACAAACCTCCTTTTGTATTGTATTGACCTGATGCTGCAAAATTCTGAATGCTTTCTACATATGACAAGGCAAACAAAGCTGAGTTAAGATTCTGAAACGCAAAGTTCTGTTTCATTAAATTATCTATGTTGAGATCATTTCATAATTATCTATTAGTGCATTCTTGCACTTTTTTCTTAGATATGTAATATGGACCACTGTCTGGTAGCCTTTGGTTAGATGGCCTGTCTGACCAGTGGTATCATTTCATGTTAAGAGAGATTTCTAAGATTGAATTGTAAGCAGGGGGGAAAGTTTTTGTTGGTTTTAACCAACAGAAAACAAATGTAGAGCACTAAATCCTGGATGAAATTTCTGGGATATGCTGGTTGTGGACTGTTTTTGCAGAATTCTGATGAGATGTGTTATGCCATGGAAATAGATCTTTGAACTGCCTTGATGCCTGTTTCTGAGCACCGCGGTCTTTGGATGAAACAGTTCTTCTGATGTATAGTTTTATGCTTAGAATAATTAAGAACTCAATATTTGGAGCGCGTTCTCTGCTTTGTTTGTTACTTTTTCTTGTCAATTTTCCTCTAAATATGCAAGATGCATAATCTATTTTTTACCCTAAGGAAATTTTGCTTTGCTTTTTTTTTTGTTCTCACCCTTCTTGTATACATCTACTTTTTTGTTGGTTTACTTAGTCATATGATATGCAAATGTTTATGCAGAATATATGTGCATCAATGTAAGCCCTATATGTAGTAAGTAGAAGCAGAATATTTTTACTTTCAATAATATTATATTCTTTGCATGATTGTTTTCTAGAAAGGTAAAAAGCCATTTCTTCTGGCATCTGAAAAAGGCCATGCTGACATGATAAACAGTTTGATTGCGCTAAAGATGTTTACCTCTGAAAAAGATAAGGTAAAGTTTTCTTTTCAGCAGAAATACAAATGAAAATGTGCTTATGAAAGATTACTTCGTTTCAGTGTATTGACGGGCCAACAATGACACAAAGATAATGATTTTTCAATAATTAATGGAGGACAGTGGTATTTCTGGTCTTATTGCCAGGAATCTTTTCTACATATATATTAATAATTCATGTAAAACAGTACAAATGTAGGCTGTCTGTTGGGAGGAGTGGGAAGGTCTAGTGAGTAAGGTGCCAGCCTCAGTACTGGCAGACCAGGTTTTCCAGTTTCTAGCTCTGCTCAGCTACGTCTGTGTATCACTGCTAAGACCTGCATGACAAGGTTTTTAAATGCTTCCAAGACACAAATAAACACGGGGATTTTTCAGAAGTGCCAAAACAATTAAATCAAATTGAATTTACTTTTGGTACTGCATTTTAAATACCATTCAGAATCTGCCCTTACTCCTTACTCTACTATTTAGTGAAATGAGGATGTCAGTGTTTCTCTAGATCCTAGGCATTGCAAGGATAAATATGTTTAAAATTGTGAAATGCTGAGATACTGTTATTATAGAACCATGCATGTAAGCATCCAGTAAGTTATGCTAGAAAAGAAATGAAACTTCTTTTCTTTTTTTTTTTATATTCTGGTAATATTTTAAAAACTACAGTACAGCATGAAGCTCTCACATGCTAAGCACTCTATCAGCAGAGGCTGAAAGAGAGTATTGTCCTAGAAAGATAACCAGCTGAACAGGTAAAGCAGCAATGATAGGAGGTGAATGCTGCAATCCTACAAGCAGAATAAGTAGGTAAAAAGTCAAGACAGGAACTTATCTCCTTGGTCACTAAAAGCAATCACACCGTATATGTCTGTCACTTAGCAACATAACTTTTTTGTAAAAAGAGCCTTTTGTTTCCCCTACTGGTGAGACTGGGATTTTTCTGAGGGTTATCCTTCTCCCAGTTTCCAACTTCAATTTGTTTCTAGCCAGTTTTATACTTCTTCTTGTAACAGCACTGTCTTTTAGCTTAAAAGTTGCTGCTGCTCTTCCTGATGCTTATCTAGATTGCTCTTTGTTTTTATTTGCTTGCTTGTGTGCTATTTTTTTCTCCTCAGCTAGTGAGGAATTGTGTTGTTGCTGAATAGGTTTGAAGATTGCTATGGTGGCATCAAAGGCATTATACCATTATATAAACTTACATAGATTTTGGCCCTTAATCATTAAATCACTGCTTTTGGGGAGCTTGACCAAGTCCTCATCCTTGTAGGATCCAGTGCCCAAAGTTAACAGTTTTCTTCTGAATCATTCTTTAAGAGTTAGAATTTCAGGCCTTTCCACTGGTAATGAATGCTCTGCATTTTTCATAGTATATTGAAACAACCATAAAGTCCTCAGTTTCAATAGACCAGCAAAGTTATGTCTGCGTACTACATGTTAAAAGGCTCCTTTTGGATTAGAAAAAAGTCTGAATTTGGAACATTATGTGGAACTACCCCTTTCTCCTTGTATGCAAGAATGTGATCTGGAAAGACCAAAGGTTCTGTATTTAAATGCATGTTAACGGAGGCTATTGTTTTTACTTTAATCTGGGTTTTAAAATCTCTGCTTTGACGTTTTAATTTCAAGGAGGGAAACACAGCATTGCATCTAGCGGCTAAAAATGGTCACAGTGAAGTTGTAGAAATTCTGCTCGAACAGTGGGAAGAAATAAATGACCTCAATCAGGTAAGAACACAGAACTTACTGAAGGAGATACAGATTTGAAAAAATAGATATATATTTTTTGAAAACGAAGGAAATGTTGCACTGAGCAGATTTCATTAGTTCTGCTGCTTTCCATTGCTTGTGTCCTGTTTCTTGATCCCTCCTAGACTAAATCCTTCAATGTCTCTTACGCTGTCCTCTGTTCCTTGTGCAATGGCATACTCTAACCAGTGGTAGAATGAAAGGCAGAACAAATATGGCTGGTTGCAAGCTAAGCAGGTGATACTTTTGTGACCCATAGATGTTATGTGCTGATGTGCAAGTCTGCAAGCCAAGCAAAACTCTTCAGTGTACACTGTGTCCTGTCTGTCAGCGAAGATCACAGAATCATAAAGGTTGGAAGGGACCTCTGGAGACCCTCTGGTCCAACAACCCTGTGCTCAAGCAAGACCAGCTAGAGCAGGTTGCCCAGGGCTGTGTCCAGTCAGGTTTTGAGCATCTCCAAGGATGGAGACTCTACAGCCTCTCGAGATGTTAATATGGTCTCTTTTTTTCTGTAACTGAACTTTGTAGGAAATCACGGCTGTGATTTCACGAGCAGCTGAGTGGAGAGGAGTCGAGTCCTCCACCTTCTTTCCATCCTCCAACGTTTCTGGCCACATGATCCTGTTTGTTGTACTGCCTCTGGTATTTTATAGCCCTCTGTGAGACAGTTCATTGTGCATACCCAGCACATTACACCTCAGCAAAGAGGTCTCAGATTTGTTTGTTGTTCATCCGATCTCACTTGGCCTCACAGAATTGGCTTCTCACACTGTCTACCCACTTTTTTTCCCTAGGTTAGTATTCGTGAGTCCAGCCAGCATATTCATAAAGTACGTACTGGCTGTGAAAGTTGTATCCCTGAGCTGATGCACTCATGAGCATATGTGTAATTCATGCGTCATTTTAAGATGTAAAGTACATGTGAAGGAGGGGAGTCTAATCATTCAGTTCATAATTACTGCTTTGCAAAAGGAGCTGTGTCTTCTGCTTCTTCTTGGGGGCAGCTGGAATGAATTGAGTTAGTCCAATTCTTAGTGGGCAAGCATGCCCATTGCAGAAACCTGCCTTGTGGCTGACAGTCTCTTCTGCTGGCCCAGCAGAAGACTCTCTGAAATGAGTAAGGGACTTCCGCTCCTACCGAAGGTCCTTCTCTTCCTTTATCAAGAAAAGATTTATGGGTAGAAGGATTATTTCTTAGCCAACTAGCCTTTTTTTTTTTTTTCCAGCTATGCAAGCTTTGAGACATGAGTCCTTTTGAAATGTGAAGCCCTTATGTTTCCAGAATTTGTCTGAGAGGTGTTGCTTCTGCATGCAGAGCTTGTACTACTTACGACCCTACCATGTCATGGCTAAAAAGAGTTGGAGATGTTCCGTTCTGTGAATAAACAGAGCTTTCTCATCTCAGCACTAGCAATGTACTACAGTATATTAAAGTTTAACAGAGTAACAGTGGCAGGAGCTCAGGCAAGGAAGAAATAGGGAATTATTAATGCTTCAGTGAATGCTGAAACACTGGAGTAACTTTAAATAAACCTTTGCATGTTGTAATATTTCACATGTTGGGGTTAGGTCATTGTGCAGCTAATGTAACTTATTTTAGGGACTTGCTTTGGAGACATGGATATTTTGGGGATGTGAGAAGTTTTGAAAAGAAAAATATGCAACAGGATTACTGCTCCTTTTAACTACTGGTAGAATTGAGAATGCATCAGAAATCCATGGGACTGGATTAACAGAAACTGGCCTTTGTGGCATGCGCTGACATGATAGCATTGTTGCATAGTAATTGCTGCTATTCAGCACTAAACATCATGTTTGTTTTTGTGTCTGCTGATTGCAATGTTCTTGCAAAACAAAGAACACAAAGAGGTATGAAACAGTTATCTGTACGCTTTAACTTATGTTAACATATGTTGACATAAATGACATCCACCACTTAAGGAGTGGTGAGTTGTCATTTCATTTGTGTGTTATTTGGGTGATGTTCTCTTGTTACTGTCTCTCCTTTTCTGTTGATCTGGATGAGCCTGAGTAAGCTTATCTGTTTTGTGTGAGAACTTTATAATTGGCTGTATGGCTGATTTGGCTATACATAGCTTAAACTAGAACAGACATTTTCTCTCTCTTTGGTTTAGAATGGAGAAACTCCATTTTATTTATCTGTTGAAGGAGGTCATGAAAAATGTGCTGAACTCTTACTGGAAGCAGGGAGTGATATCAACCTTTTAACTCAAGTATGTACACAGTATTCTTTTAGCACACTGTTTTCGGGACATCCTGGGCTGTGGGAAGGGTCATATCTTCTCTGTGTACTAACAATATATTTGTTCTGCTTATTTTCATGAAACAATAAAAAATAATCATTTTATTAAAATATAAATGGGAATGTGGAGAATGTTAAGAGTACAACATTTATATGGAAGAAATATAGCATAGATATATTTGACAAAATGCTGTGGTGGGGCTTTTATATTTATTGTTTATTCAGTAGTAAACACGGCTAGGAAATGTAATCAGCTATGGGATAATTGAAAATCCTGAATTTTGTCAGTGTGTATGACTGAACTGAAGATAAACCTGTTTTCAACATCTGATTCCTGGATTCTAGTATAACTCAGACTTGTTTAACAGCCTTGGTTTGCCTGTTGCAAGAATTTGCAAGAATTTCGTTCCAGGAGACTGAGAGCTTGTTTCGTTTAGCAAAAGTATTAAGGGGAAAATTTCTATCAATTTACAAAATTTATTAATGTGAATGTAATTGCTTATTAAAGGTCATGCTGAAAGACCAGGAGATATATGGGAATTGTCATTGTCTGTGATACAGGATAGCTGACAAAGCTGTTTATCTCTTTCGTAAGAGAGATTGGAAAGGACTATGGAGCACTGGTCTTTTCAGAAAATTTCTTGCGATACAGTAACAATGTAAAGTTCCTTTAGTGTTTACAGAAACACATCATACTAGCTGGTGTCCTACTTCATTTTATATCATTTTATCAAAGGGACTCTTTTCTGGAAAATAGCACAAATTTAAACGAAAGATTATTCCGTATTGATATGCTGTTTATAACGTCAATTTCAGAACAATAACAGTGCTTTGCAAATTGCAATTCAGAATGGACATCTATCCTTGGTCACGTTTCTTCTTGATAAGAACATTGACCTTATCCCTAAACCAGAGGTGAGCATGTATTAATAAAGCTTTTCTGCTGATGTTCAGGAAAATTTGTCCTGTCTTTATAGCCTTTGTTGAGATTTGCTGTCCGTAAATGACACTAACTAGCTCTTTTGTTATTTTTACAATAAATGTTGTAATAATTGTATATTATATGAATGTTTATTAGCAATGTGTAGAGACTAGCCAAGACAAGCTCCTGTTCCACAAACACAGTGAGTGCCTGGATAGATTAAAGCGTTGTATAGAGGTGGCCAGGCTAACTCAAGGACTGGGCAGTATAAGAAGATAAAGCAAATAGAAACTTCAGTGTTTTCACCCCCTGTGCTAAAGGCAAATGCCTTCCAAATCTGCATACAATCATTCCTTGGAGTGATAGTGGTTGTTGTTTTTTTTAAGTCTCACTTCAGATGCAATAGTTGTTACATCTGAGACTTTCTGTAAATAGGAAAATTTTATGCTTCTGCAGTACAGGATGAAAACAGAAATCTAGACTTTGTGATTTACCTACCGTGATCACTTGACCGTTGTTTAATGTTGTCAAGGAAGAATAATTTGTAATGTCTTTGAAATGATTTATTTTAAAGATCAGCTGGTGGTTGTGCTGCTTGTTTGCACTGGTTTTCTGTTGCAGAAGCAACTCTAAAAACTGTAATGTAAGTATTGGAAACGTTTCCAGTACAGTGCTGTGTGAGAGCTTTAATATTTTTCTGTAGCCCTGAAGAAATGACTGTGGTTTATAAAGACGCCAATGAGTAGGCCTCTGGCACTGATGACTGGCAGTGGTATGAATTTTTTTTTAGCTATCTTTAGCAAGAAAGTGATGAGTCACAGGTTCAACATGCAAATTGATCTTGCCAATCTAATGGTTGGATTGTGACTGTGTTGGACTTATGCCACGGTTATTTTCGTGAGTAATCACTCAAATAACAAAGCTTAATTTCTTTCTAGGTATAATTATCAAGAATATTTAAAGAAGCAATGTGTTACAAGAACTTATTCCTGGAAAGTAGATTAGTTATATACTTGATTTAGAATGGTATTGTCTCCATCTGTTCCAATAAGGGCAAACCAAGTTTTTTGAGGGAAAAGAAATACTGCCCGAAAGTCTTTATTTTGAATTAAACATAGCAGCACATTTCATATATGAATAAATTAAAATGAGTGGTTTGCTGACAGTTTGTAAGCACCGACGTACTTACTAGTAAGCATGGTGCACTGAAAAATTATGGATTTCTCCAACGTTTTTGTTTACAAGCTGCTGTACGTGTTGCATGAAGAGGAAGAAGCTAGCCATGCAGCTCGGTAACTGGACCCCTGTAGCATAAGTCAGTACCTGAAGTTGTGTTTTTTGCAGCTTTAATCTCTGCTGGAGCATATCCTGTGTCCTATTTGCAGAGGATAAATTTTGACAAGTACTACTTTTTTGTCTGAAAGAAACTTTTAATGAAAGTACCCTAGTATAATAGTGTTATCTTGTTTTTTTTTCTCAACAGCAGAAGAATTCTCCTCTCCATTTAGCAGTCATCAATAATCATCTACCTATAGTAAAAAGCCTCTTGGATGCCAATCATGATATAAACTCCTTAAATCATGTAAGAAAAAAATGGGAAGTAACATTACTTCACTGAGAAAGAGGAGATTTTTTGGATTTTGTTTGAAATAGAATGGATTGGTTTGTTTTTGTTTTTTTTTCCTTATGGGCTTAAGGTGCAATAAATAAGAGGCAGTTCCCTCCTTGTCCTCCCTCTTGTGTGTGTGCATACGTGTTAGTCTATGGTACAGGCTGTGCTAGTACTGTTTGTGCAAGATACGGATAGCAAGATGCAATATATTCAGAAAATGTTTGGATTAATTTCTTGTTTGTTATGATTTATGAATAATAAATGACAAAAATGTCTCAGAGATATGGGTCTTAGAGGAAAACCCAGTGCAGAGAGCCATTTGCCTGGAAGGCTGCCTTTAGCTCACAGGAATTCTTTCAGTATAAACTTTCTAAAGCATGTAGACAAAGAAAGCTATCACAGGCTCCCAGGCTCCATTCAGGATTTTTTCTTTTAATTAATGGCAATTTTGGGCAGGTCTAGCCATATAGTTCTAGATTAGAGAGGTTCCCCTCGATCCTTTTTTAATAAAAAGCAATGAAATTCCATGAGGATTAGTGCACTGAAGGAAAAAAATTAAGGCTTTCCAGTTAAACATGGAACACTGAGGATACAGAGTTATTCTGTTCATTTTTATGTACATTGTTTTTGGGGAAAGAAATAGTCTTTGTGGAATCTGTAGCTTCCGCCATCCCATTGTTCATTTTATTGAAATGTATATGATTTTTTACGGGAGATAGATAACCCCCTGAAAGTCTGTTATTTGTAGCTAGAGTCAAAATGCCTGTGGTGATAAGCTACTTTGTTGAATAAAATAGACAATTTTGTAAACTTCTCACACATATCTTTTAGAAACTTTACTTGCATTGTCTCTAGCATACTTGAAGTTGCACACAGTAGTAGGTACATACATATCTAAATTATTGAAAAAGAGGATGTTTCTTTGGAGGAAATTTGAGGTCATGTAATCGGAGTATTCTCAAAAGAGCTTGGATAAGACTATGTGAAACCCTTAAGCTGGTGTATCTTTGTGTGTAAGGATCTGTTTAACTCTGCGACCTGTCAGTTAAGGCATGATTTTAAGAATTACCTGAGGACCTAGAAAGTGCTCTTACCACATTTGCAGAATGTAGACTTGCATCATTAGAGGAGCATAGGTACAAAAACTTTGACTTAAAAGGATGCTGTGTCATATGAAACATACTGTGGGACATTTCCAGATATGCAAGAATTCCGTAAATGATAACACATTTATTTGCTGCTACATTGCACCCACAGAAGCTTTCCTAAAATTAAGAATAGTAAAGAAAAGATCAAGAAGCAAATCCTTCTTTGTGACAGGAATAGATATCTACTCTGACTGTTAGACTGCTGGGCTTCCCTGCTGCTTAGTGGGAAAACTGAGTTTCTTCATAATATTCTATAGAAGAATAAATAACTAGATTTTATGGGGGTAAATGGAGCAGTTTAGAGACTACACAACTACTGTGGACCCAAAGACTAGATTTGAAGCAAAATGTTCCCATCACTATAGTTTTTGTTAATGGTTTGGTTTTGTTTAATGCTTTTGTGGTTTAAGGTTCACCAAACCCGTTATGGATCAGGCAGATCTCTGTTCTGCCTTCCACTTGATCCCAGTGTTTGGGGGCAAGGCTGGCTAAGAAAGTCTATTGTGAACTGTGGCACAATGTACTGTTGAAAATTCTGAGTGTCCAGTTGTCTTTGCATGAATTTCAGCAGGGAAAAGTTACTTGAGAGGGTGGTGTGGGGGTTGGCAGTCACATGAAGCACTCTGCCCCAAACACCTTGTTTTAAGAGGGTAGAGAGAGCTTGTTACGTTACAACACATTAGAGTGGCATGGCACTGGCCTTTTCCAGGGCTGTCTGGAATTTCTGTGTATTTTTCCTGTAGAGATCCCAGACGTTCTCTTGTTTGCCTGAAACAAAATTGGCGTTTAGATCATTCGAAAGTTAAATACTTTCATTCTGTTCAGTATTTTCTAGCTAAGGCCATCTCTTGTTATGAATCTGATTGAGTTTCAAATTGTAAGCGTTTCCTTTTCACTGGGGAGTTTGGCAAATTATATTTGTTTGGTGTTATTCATTCCAGAGGCAGGAAACCCCTTTACATCTGGCAGCTGATCTTGGCAACGTGGAGCTGGTGGAACTGCTGCTGAAGGCAGGCTGTGATCTCAAGACTATGGATAAGGTATACTGCATTACTCATGCAAGCAAGGATTATGTGATTTTTTGTTTTGTTTTGTTTTGTTTATAACCTTCTTCCCAGAGATGCAGGAAGTGTATGTTTCCAGCCCTCTTTTGTAAAATGAATGCAGCTAAGTGTTAGGTGTTACAAAGGAGGTTCCTTTTCGTACTACCTTGTTACGAAAGAAGTTCCATTTTAATATTGCCTTGCCTGCAGTTTGCAGAGATCTGAAGTTGTTTTAGTGAAGAGCTGGTTTTGGGTACAGATGTGATGAAAGCCAGTGGGCTTAAAAATGTAAAACTTCTAAACTCCATGGTTTGAAGGGTAAACCTCACTTTCAGACCTCTGATTTCAAAAGGACAAGGACAACTTCCACAGAGTGGAAGTGGTGTGCGGCCATTACAGCTGTACACCCACAGTCAAGTTTATTGCCAGGAGGCATGTAGATAGTTCAAATCTCACTGACTGTAGCGATGGTGAGTTTATTTTTAAGTACACTGCGCCATCTGAAGTTGGTGGTGCCTGGTGTCCCTGAGGAACCGTCCAAGATACATTCAAGTGAGTGCTTAGACCCTGAGTCATCTGTTACTGAGGTCTAGTCTGGAAAGACTGAGGCAAGAATGGCAATGACTGGACAAAGCACCAAAACAAAGAGTCTCTGAGGAAGCGCCTATGTAAGGAGAGAGTACTGAATCTTTTTTGGGGGGATGGTATTTTTTAATTTTGTCACTGTTAGATTGAGCCTGTCCTTTTTATACTGTTACTGCCATGTGGATTTTCTATATGACTGAATAGATATCAGATGTATATAGTGAGCAAAATCTAGCTCTTTAGTCATTTTAAAAAAACAAAGTAATTTTCATGCAAACAACTGTCTTGATGAGGAGTAAAGCCTCATGGAACTAGTATCACCTTTTTGTTCCCAGTCTGACAAGAGGCTCAGGGCTATGAGTGTGAGTGACATGGTTCATATGTTTTAGGAGGCTGAGGTAAGATGCTGCAATGCAGTTAAGTCATGTCTACGCTGGCCAGAGACCTGTGACTTTTATACAGGCTAACCCAGACTGAAGTCCTATCCACTTTGGACAATGCTTTGGCTATTGGAAAAATGTCTCTACCTTTTTATATGCCGAAGGGAGACAATGAAAATTACATCTTGATGCTTATTCTGACCTTAAGTACCTGCAAGCCTTTGAGCTGGATAGTGTCCTGATATTATAGCAGTGTTGACAGAGTTCAGGGCATGTTATTAGCTTGTGGCTTTGAGCCATTACAAATTTTGTCATCTTTCTACACCGCTTTTATTTCTTGAAAGAGCTGTTTCCTTGTCTGTTTGCTGGGTGAGCTCTGGGGCCGTGTCACAGCTGGGAATGTTGGCAAGTACAAGAGTCTTTGAGCTGAATTGGTACTGGGGTGCTAAAGATATTCCCCTCCTTGCTCCCTGAACAGCAGGCTGGGAGAAGGGGAGCCTGCTTGGGTTGCCAGCTCTGTATTTTTCTGGTGCCTGTTCCCTGATAGCAGGAATCCTCAGTCTCCAAGTGTGTAATGCATCTGTAAGAGTTGCTTGCTGCTAAAGCTCAGGAAATGCTCTCCTGGGAAACTTTACTTCCCCCTGTCTTCAGGTGTAGTTTTGATAGCCAGGAGAGCTCTGTGTAAGATTGTCATGCTGTATGTGCATGCAGTATCCCAGTGGTACTTGAAGCTAGCAAAGGAGGCCAGGCACCCTCTTTTTTCCACCCCTTACCCTGGGAATGCAGAGTGCCTTTCCAGAGGTGGGCCCCAAGGAGCTGTCGCAGTCTGTGGTGTCTTCTCATGTTAAGCGCTTCTGTGTGAAATGTAAAGTCTTTGGCTCCCAGTGTGATGCTTTCTACACGTGGGATAATTATAATGATCTTGAACAGCCAGGAGCTAGAATTCAAAAGGTATGTATCAGGAAACTTCATAATAGCTGGAGAGTGGAAATGCCTTATAATTTAATTACTGAGCCTTCTAATTTCGAGGGGTTGACTTCTTTTAGGCTTAATTTTCTAGAGTGCCTAGCTCCTGTTATGTGAAAAATACCCGGAATAGTCACATCTGAGGCATCTCCGCTTAGCGGCACTCCACTGAAAGTGGAAGATTACAGAGAGAACCCTGTAAAGCCATTGAAACACCCATATGTCAAAATGTTGTAACAGAGATTAGTTCAGATAAACTGAACGGTCCTCTATAGCTGGAATTAAAGCAACAGCTTTTAATTCCTTTGATTGTCTGTACTACCCTCAAAACATCGCCTTCATTGTGCATACTACAGTCATCGTGATAGTCATCCACATGCCTGCTTCGTTTTGTGACCCAGCTTCTCTTACCATCTAGAACAAGACATGGGTTTGTTCTTAGGAGTTTTGCAACCTTGTCATACCATCCACCTGAAATGGCAGCTTAACCGTAGCAGGGGGATGAACCGTATTTGCAGTAGTTTTCAGCCTGTGGATGCCTGGGATTCCACTAACTTGGAAATAGTGACTGAAGAAAGCATGTTGATAAAAAGTGTGCGCAGTCTGTACATAAGAGGTTTCTGAAGCCAACTGCACCTCACTAGAAATGCTTTAGCGGTCCACATGTTGGGAAGACTTGACCACCTCTGGATTCAGGGGTTACAACTCATACAAAGCATAACATAATTTTGGTTGCAGCCACCTTGAAGCCATAACATTCTAGTATATGTATTTTCTTGAAAAAAACGATAGAGCTCTGTAAATTCTATAATGTAATTATCCTCATATATATATATATATGTATGTATGTATGTATGTATTTATGTGTGAGATCATGTTATGATTCACTATCTCTGCTTTCAGCATGGAAAAACTGCACTTGCTGTGGCAGCAAGGAGCAATTATGCCCTCATCGTAGATATGATCATTAAAGCAGAAAGGTATTATGCTAGAAAACAGGTAAGACATCTTTCACTACACTAAAGGAAACCGTGAGGGAGAAGCTGATCCTGATCTTAAAGTCTCTTTTGCCTCAGATGATTTCCTCTTGACAGGTTGTAAGACTAGCCTTGATAAATTGAGGTTAGGATTAGAAATTGGAAAGCCTTTATCCAGTCCAGGTTTTGTCCTTGACAAGCTGTAAAATTGTAGACAGAACATACCGTTTTGCAGCATCATGCACTAAACAGAGAAGAAGGGATGGAGACGTATTCTGACCCAAATTCAGACTGTGTGCTATGAACGTCAGAGTCGAGATGATCTGAATCCATGTTGACCCGTGTGTCCTTTGGTACTGCAAAATCCATGATTTAAAAAAATGAACTGCAGGAGTCCGTCCTTCCTTTGCCAGTGAGAACGACGAGCTCAGCTACTGTAGTGAGAGCTCCCTCTTTGGTTTGATGCAGTTAATTACAAAAGTCAAGAAATAAACCGGGAAAGAGCCAGGCAACCATGTGAAGTGAGGACATTGGTTAGATTGGCCTCGATTGTCTGAATATCTAACTTTGTTTCCCTAGTTGTCACACTTTTTTAAATGTAGGCTGCTTAGCCTGCATGGCACAGGACCTTGGTTGGGACCATCTAGAATTCTGAGGAAGTTTATTTATTCTGATGATGACATTAGCAATGAGTATGCTATACCTACCTACTTGATAAGATAAAAGGGAAGTATTTCAAAGGATGGTGAAGGTTAATTTTAGACTTATGCTCCATAAATAATTCAGTCGTGTATTGAGCTGCTCAGTTTTTCCTGTTTGGAGAGACAGTTTTATGCAAGCTCTAAGAATTGATTAAATCTGCTGGGTTTTGACATAATGCAAGCTAAAATCCCCAAGCTATCAGAAAGCTTTTGCTTTCTGATTGGCGCTAGTGAGGGAGTGAAAGCTGTCTATTTTTGTTGCATCCACCATAAAAACTGCAGGACTTAGGTGCTACAGCTACTTATGTAAAGCAAATAATTCTGTGAGCACCTGAACTAGCAAACTAGGCTAAAGGGACTGGTGAAAGGAATTTAATTGATTGACTCTGTTTCAGGGTGTAGCTTGAAAACTATTTTGCCGCTCTTTCTCATTGCTAAGATGCTACTTAAATCTATAATCTCGTTCTCATTCTTGCTTTCTGCTAGTATTTGTTTTACCAAGTTAGACAAGTGTCTCTCAGGTCCTCCAGGCATGCTTGATCCTGCCTGAGTGCAGGCACCCGAACTAGCTGGTCTTTTACCATCCTCTCCAGCCCTATATATCCGTTTCTGTGATATTTAACGGTGCAGAGAATTGTGCTGGTAAATCATAGATCTAGATTAATTCTAATTAAAAACATGTCCATGAGCTGCATTTGTTGTGCATAGCTGATTTGCTTCAGTTCAGCTGGAGTTGTCAGGTACGTTATTGTTTCTTTTGGCTCAAAGGCAAATTAGAAGTGAAATCATTTGTCAGGGAGGATAGGTAAAGTCTGATAGCAGTGAGCAAGTAATGCTCCTAATCTTTTGGCATTGTTTAACTGAACTGCCTGAGAAGAAGAAAAGATATTTAAGCAGATGGTTTTCTTCACAAGCAAAACAGATGTTGGGAAATAGAAACATAAGTGTTTGTATCGCCTTACCTGAAGCTAAGCGCACAGCCTCTGGGAGCAGTTCAAATGTTACAGTTATGGCATATAAAGTTGTTCAGGTAGTGTTACTGCACGTGAAACTACAGTGTTTTGAACTATTATTGTAAGAACTGTCTTTTTATTACATCGGGCTGACTGTGATTTGTGACAAGGCATCTGTTGCAAAAAGAAATGTCACGTTGCTGTGAGGAAGTGCACATGATACAAATTTGTGTGAAAGACTGTCTTGTTCTGTTTTTCCTTTTTTCTATTTATTGCTTCATTCAACCTTTCACCACCCTTGCCAAGGCTGTTTCTGACTGGATTTGAGGGTTGCTGCTTGTGTCCTACCCTAGACGCGCAACTAGCAGCAAAGGGAAGCTGTTGTGCTGCAACGGGAGGAGAGAGAAGATTTTGTGCTTTGTTTTTTAAACCCAGAAGGGAAGCGCTTTCCTGGAGAGAGCCTGAGCCACTAATCAAGGCTACCCTGTGACATGTCCTAAACCTCACCTTGCATGCTTCACGAAGCGCTGCACCAGAAAAATGTAATCTAACATATATGACAATAGCTAATTATCAAACTGAATTTTTTTTTCTTGCAAGTTAGGAAGGTTAGGAAATAATACTGTTATTACAATTCTTGGCGTTTAATCTAGAATGGAGTATTTTATACTTAGCACTTCTAAAATGTAGCATGCTGCCATGTCCTCTTCTTGTCTAGGATCTGCTTTGTCATCCTGTATCAGCTTCCTGAAGAGATTTCATTTGGGAGACTGTTTTGAAAAAGGACTAGCATGAGCTTATCTACACTAGGAAATAGGATTTCCACTAGGCAGCCCTCAACTGGGGCCAAAATAACTGCTGGAGAATGCTTTTGCAGGGGTGCCCAAACGTGAAGCAACTAACGCCATCATTCCTGTTTCAGGCAAGCCGGATACCATAGCTACATCATGTTTTAACCTGATGCGTGGTATGCCTGTGATTTAGTTGTATTTTTGGTTTTGGTGTATGTATGTGGTTTTGTCTGTGCAGGTAATAAAATTAGCTCCAGGTTCAACGCACACGTGCTTATTGGTGCTTAGACACTTTCCTGAATGGGGCCTTGCAAGCCAAACCCAATGGTTCATACCGCTATCGCGTCACCTAGTCAGGCCCACTTCAGCCAAGCGGAACTGATGGGGCGAAGATGGGAATGTTCTGAGAAAGTCTCATGCAGATAGTGGCTAGCCTCTTTTTAGGAAGGTTAGCACTAAGAGAAGCAAGAGGAAAGAACAAGAACTGCGGTTGAACCCCAAACACATTTAAAACATTGTTTGTAATGTAGACACAGCCAAAGAGCGTCATAGTGCTTGGATATTACTGCAAATTACTTGCTACTATGTATCAAGCACTAGAGAAAACAAATGCTTTGTTTTGTATTTAACTGAGTGATACAGAGCAATAAACCCAGGAAGTCTTTTTTTCTGTCTGTTCTGTTGTTAAAACTGTTAGAATGGATGACATTCTAAGATATCTCCCAAAGGTGTGAAGATTTTTTTCCCCATAGAGCTCTGGTAGCCAAAATAGCTAATTCTTACAGTTCCTTTATCTGCACTGAGCAAATCACCTGCCAGCAACCACATACGGGTGTATAGACCAGTGCTGGCTGCAGGCTAGGCAAAAAAGTCTTCCTACCTTCATTACAAAATTTATCATCTGCTTTCCTTTTCAGGAACGTCTAGATCATAGTGATGTTGAGTCAGATTTTGTTTTATCTTTCAAACAAGATCACAGTACACAGACCAAGCAAATCCGTTCCTCCCTTTGGAATCTGGCATACAATCAGTTAAAACCCCAAGAATGGAAAAAACTGGCTCTGTTCTGGAAGTTCACAGAGGAACAAATTAAAGCTATTGAAGAACAATGGACAGGTAACAACTGTTTGAATGGATAGACACCATATAGAAGTAATATAAATCAAGCCAGGGCATATAGTAGCTTTTTAAGCTAGGAGAGTATCCCAGATGCTTGTTGGCCATCCTGCTTTCGTTCAGTTCGTGAAAAGGAACAGTGATATAAAAACTTGAGGTGAACGGATACAGCCCTTGTCCCTGGCAAATTCTGCTGCAGAAGTACAGGCCACTTGCGTTCTCCCACTTTCTATATGAAGAAACTTTTCATCTTTGGGAAGCAGGAATTGGAGCAAAGAGCAGCAGGGAAGGGTCTCGCAGTTCACGTGCTGCTGCAAGGGAGGCCTTGGGAACAGAGGAGGACCTTGTTCATGCTCTGCTTGCACAGCCCTCATGAAGCGGCAGTTTCTCTCTTCAGGCAACACTAGGGTTGGGAGACTGATATTTCTAGAGCACACGTTGCACTCATTTACTATTACTCTAGGAAGTATTTCAAAAAGTTAAAAGTGAAAGGAAGAAATTAATTTTTAGATATATTAGCATTGATTTATCTCTTTTTTTCCTATTAACCTTCTTTTAAAATTACTTTTTTTTAAACCTTTGTAAGTCTCAGTCTTCATTTTGCTTCTAGGTAAGAAAGGAAATAAGAGTAAATGAGTAGGTTTTAAAGTCTCTTGGGACTGTAAAAGTGCAAAATACAATGTTTCCAGCATATGGAACAGGAAAATGCTTTGTGTATTGCATAGGAAAAAAAAGTTATAAGGAACATGGACACAGAGTGCTGCTCATCTGGTTACATGGCATATTGCTGGCTCATCAGAATCCTGTCAAACATATATACGAAGATCTGATGGAAGCAGGATTTCAACATTTAGCTGGTAAGTAGTTTTGTGATATAGACAGCATAGTCTAGCGTCCTCTGCAAAAATACAGTGAAATGCTGAGGTTCCTGCCCTGCTGGGGGAGATGCGTAGCTACAGCAGAGCTGGAGGACATTCTCTTCCTTCTGGGAATCTACCCTTGGTAGGGGTTGAGGAAGAGAGTTGAAGTCAGATTCAGCATTTCTGAAGGAAGAGAAAAATATGCAAACTCTGCTTCTCTCCTTTGTCTTGCAAACATGGTGAAAAATGCGATCAGCCCTCCTTCAGTTAGATTAGTGCTGACCTTGTAAAGAGCAGCGTCTTTAGCAAACGTTTCTTCCTCTTGCTTTACAGAGAAGATCAGAACTGAAAGTAGCACTTACAAGGAGTTCAGCAAGTGTGCAATTTCATGAATTCATCAAGGGAACATGGTGTATATGATGGAATTACAAGCCAGATGGAATGTGGCTTTCAAATAAAAATAATTTTTCTGGAAACTAAAATTGTTTTGAAGTTGTATGACATTTTACGAGCTAGGACTTGCACTCCTGAAATTTTGATTAGTTGTTTCTCTCATGCTTTGCCCTACAATAATTGACAGCTTTTAAGAGTGAGTGGCTGGCTGGTCATTTATGACTACACTATTAAGAGGTGTTTTTTCTCTCCCCCCCCACCCCCAAATTTCTGTAGCTGACTTGAAATTCATACACTAATTCCATGTTGGAACTGCACAATTAAGTTTTGTTTGACATGAAATATAAATGAGATGTTTTCTAGTTGAAAGAAATTAAATTTAGTAAGTGAAAATTATACATATACATCAACAGTTCCAGAAATAGGTTGGCACCTGGTGGCCTCATTTGGGATTCAGACTTTTTATACAGTCTGTTGCTAGGATTATAGTTTTCCTTTCCGAAGAGGGCTTTTCTCTTGATTAGTGCTAGGACCTGGAACAAATGTTTCTTCTTAAGCATTTGATTTATGTAGTGAAAATACACAAAAATGCCATATCTATAACCATGTGTGACTGGCTTCAGAACTTGTCTGCTCATGCCATGTCCTTGTGTACATACTCAAAAAAGGACATTGATATTTTAATACTTATTTATAAATTAAAATTCACCTAGTTCTTGTTCATGTCTTGATTTTAATATTTGGTAGTGTTTTTCAGAACATGGTTCAAGGTTTTCTGTTTAGATGACTGAAAATATTTTAAGTAAGTCTAAAAAATTATGTAAATGTTTATCTTTTTGGTCTCCTTTACAACAAAGCAGCAGTAGCTCTAGCTGTGTTCAGAGAGACAAGACAATATTTCAGTTCTTCCGTTAAAGCTTAAATTACTTTCTACTGAACCTTACTGTTTGTAATAAAAATTCTGATAATGTCTATACTTTATCTGAAGTCTTAAGCTTAACTCTGACCTCCTGTGTGCAACACATTTTGACATGGCTGTAGAGCTCTACAAGAGAGTGAAGCACAGGTAGGCAACTCCCCAGGTTTTGAAACTGGGGATCTAAGATGAGTCACAAGTTCTCAGATGTACAATGGGTAAGCATCAACTCCTGTGACATTAGCTTGAAAAATGAGAATGCTTAGTGATTTGATGATTTAGGTACCTCACCTGAACCACATCACATCCTGGTTGTGAAGGTTACCCCCTTGTTATTCTTAATTTAAGTACAATGTAGGATTTAGGTCTGCAGTTAAATAGGATATTTAAGAGCAAATATAACTAAAATATGATTTTTCTCTTGAAAGTAGGTATTAGTAACATCCTAATGAAACAAAAGAGCTTCAGACCAAAACGTCACATTTGATCCTTTATTTAAAAGTGTTCAACAGATTCCTTAAATAAAGTGTTATCTTAATAAAATAAGTTCTGAAAAAGTTTGGAGGTAGAACAATGTTTCAAGGTCATTCCCCCCCCACATGCTTACTATAAGCATTTTAACAAATTTTTTAAAAAAAGTAAAAACATGATACAACAGTTAGGCCTTGCTATGTCAAGTCTGAAAACACTGGGAAGCGCTTTAAATTGTACGTTGGTAAAAACCCTCCACCTGTGAGAAAGATTTGTGTGTGTAAGATATCCACTCAGTCAACAACCTTTATTGACTGAACGCTGGTATGAGGTTGGCTCTGAAGCATTCGCCCAACTTGTCCTGCAGGTCTCACAGTGGTAGAACCAGAAGCATGGAGCACAGTTCGAGGATATTTAGCAGCAGTGGCTTGGGATATGGTTTGCTGAAAAGTAGTTAGATACAACAAAACACAGTATTTTAAAAAAAAAAAATCCCATTATATTAGCTCTAAATGAGCTATAGTTTAAGATTTGTGATCTATATACTTCTCAAAAAAAAATCATAAGGTGACTTTAAAGGTATGAGTGATTCTTTTTTTTTTTTCTTCCTCATCTGTAATAGATGCTTTTTAGAACACTAAGAGAAAAGTGCTAGACTTCTAACTAGAGATCCTGAGCTTGTACCACCTCAATCTTGTTTCAAATTGTTTGGCATTTTTTTGTTTTTCCATAGTGCTGATTTAATCATGCCAACATTCCTTTTAAGTTCAGTATTTGTTATAAGGCAGTTAAATTGGTCTCTGAAAGGAAGAGATTTGCGTTTCCTTGACAAGAATGAAACAGCTAACGTTGTTACTGTAATTAACAGTAGTCATATTGCTCTTAATCAAGGTAAGCTCTCTCCACTATCAGATTAATTTGAAAGAAATACTTCAATCTGATTGAATTCTAATTAAGCATTTATTTACAAGAAGAGTACATGGCATATGCTTCCAAGAATGTCATGTGCCCGAAAGCAGAACATCCCTCACAGGAACAGATGCCAGCAACTCCCATCAGCTCAAATGAAGGGATCTGAAGTGCCTCCGCTTGTTTTGGTAGTATCACTCAGGAAGAGCTGGACTTTTAAATGGCTTAGAGAAGCCTCATATACTACTTTACAGGTTAAAATATAAAACATCTTCAACTAAGTCATGTTTTGAACACTGTCATTAAAAAAAAGAAAAGTTTGCTCAGATTAGTCTAAGAAAGTGTAGTGACTGTATAAGTCACTTAGGCCACTGTTTACAGCCCTCTTTGTTGTTTTCGTACCCTGTTAATGCACTTATCTTACAGCGTTTTCTGTAGGAAATAGGGAGGGAGTAGGGCATGGTAAAAATGAAAATACAACAAGCACCAGGCTTGATGAATTTTTGTTGCCTCCGGACCCAGGTTTTAATTTCTTCCAGTAAATTCCTTAACCTCAGCCTGTCACTCTAATATATATCTCTACTGCCTTTGGTCCAGTCACTCTTCTCCCTACACTCGGTGAAGCTTGTCTTTAAATTGTAAGTGGTGAAATAATGACAGCAAACACTGCAGTACCACTGAACGCTTCCATGAAGAAGTAGGCTCACATGAGACAGCTGAGCCTAATCTACCTCTGAAATAATTACTACAGAAACAGGACAGATTAAAGTTGCAATATTTACTTCCTCTCCTCACAACATGACTGTGCTATACCTTCTACCTAGTCCAAAGACAGTACTGCTTATTATTATTATTATTGCTTTAACAGGACTCAAGTCTGAGCCTAGCCATGAAGTCTCTCTTCGTGGCAGTCATTTAAAAATATTACTGACGTATATAATAAGAGTAATGTTACAAGCGTAATTCTGACTTACCTGAGTGACTGGATGATGTTTTTCAACAATGACTGAACTCATGGGTGGAACAACTCCCATCACTGCTAAACTACTACAAATTCTGGGTTTTTGTCCCATATCAGATCGGCCTGTGATTCGAGCAGTGATTGTTCTTCCTGCTTTCTGTTGAGCAGATGTTATTACTTTTGCCATGGGCTACAAATAAACTAGATGTTAGTTGGTAAAAATTCTAAACTTATCATCTACAATGCTCTAATATAGCTTCTTAATTTTATTAGCCATGTACCTGAATAGAACATGGGACATGGTAATAAATTCAGTCCCATATAATGTAACTGGATTATTGGCATAGTTGAACCTGGTTTATTCCACCCTTTTTCAACTCTAAGTAAAGAGACAGTTTAGTGCAAGTGACCATTATGCTGGCGGGAGTAAGCCTAATCTAACCAAGCACGTTTAGCTTAGCTCTTTGGCTGCGTACACCAGTGACAGCTGCAGGCATTTGCATCACTCTGGCAAGTCTTTCTAGCAGTGACATAGCAGAGACAAAAAAACTTCTATACAATGAACTGCTGCATCTTTCTGTGATGGTAGCAAACTGTATGAAAGGAGAAAAGGAAAGGAGAGTAATGCAGAAAACAGTGGAGAAAAGTAAAAAGGACAGTTTAGAAACAAATACAAAGGAGGGAAGGGGAGAGACATTGCAAACAGCAGGATGACAAAGTAAAGCAGACTTTTTCCATAACTAAACGGTATCACGTGAAACACTGTTACTATTGCGTTGGATGTGAGTGTGCGTGCACTCTCCAGTTCCTCACTTCAGTCACAAATATTCCCACTGCCCCAATCATTTTAAAATGCTCTTCACATGAATGGCTGTTCTTTAACATAAACGAGCATTTTCAAGCTTCTCTCTTCACCCCTCTGTAAACGCTAAGGCAGTTTCCTCGGATACATAGTGTTGCTTTGAAAAACTGGGAAAAGACATCTAAACAAATATTTGTTATAATTATGTCTTACAAAATTAAAAAGTAAATTTTAGCATGTTACCAGTTTTTGAGCTGATGTCAGACCAGATCCTGCAGTTGTGCTAGTGGTGATTACTGGAGAATCAGAATCTAGCCTGGTCTGAGGAGTGCTGGCATGACCCAGGTGGGTAGAAAACTGTGAATGAATCAGTTTACAAAGAATAACTAACTTTTCCAAAAATCCAGTTTTATACTTTAATTAGTCAATATTTTGATTATTGCAATTACCCTGCTAAATTTAACTAACTTCTTTACAGATATTATAGCTCTTTTCTCCCCAGTTTTCTGGCTAATTTGAAACACGTCAAAGATGTTAGAAACTGAGTAAAATTTGATAACTATTGGAATGAAAAACAGAGCAGAGGAAAGCATCTCTTCTCTATTCTATCCTATACTATAGCGTGAAATAATTGTTTTACAGTGATGTCTTCACCATGACTCCAGTGCAGGTCCAAAACATCCAAGGTACTGGATAATGACCTGGCTAAGCTGATGTGACAGGACAGTAAGCTGAGTTCCAACACTGTCTATATGCTTATATTTTTAAAAGGAAGCTTTAAGTCAAAGTAATTTCTGCCTTTTTTTTTTTCTTTTTTCCCCCAAAACTATATTAAGTTCAAGTTCTTCACAAACAACTCTAAGAGCTTTTTTCCCCCCAGAAATATCCTTAGAAGGCAAATTCTGCCTATAATAGAGACTTTGTCTTCATTAGTTTATGATTTTTTACTAGAAGAAAAAACAGAGCTTAATGAAAGCACTGCCAATCACAGAAATCATGCCACAGCTACTTTGTGTTTAAATTCTTTCAATTCATGGGCTATTATTGCATTTATATGGAAAAAGCACCAACGCAGGCAATTTGTTTTCATCTCTAGTGAACACAGTTCTGCTCCCAGCTACATACTCACCATGTCTTCCAGCTGAAGACTAGCTGCTGTTGGAGGCGGTGGTGAAGGAGGATTATATTGTGAAGACGGTAGCCTTCCTGCAACATTGGTACTATTATCTTCTCTCCTACTTCCTACATCTATTAAACATAAAGTAATGGGATCAGCACAGAATGTAGCAAACCCTGAGGGGAATAGAGATGAGTCACTGTAAAATTTTACTACTCCTTTGGGATTTCTGTGTAATCTAATTAAAAGGATTAGTCTGTTCTTTGTAGGTATATATTTTAAAACTTTCCTGTATTTGAACTTGCTTTTTGGAGGCTTGAAAATAGTATTTTCAAGGGGTGAATTTCTGCATTATGCTTCTACATCCCGGTGCACTTGTCACATAGTGGTAGTGCAAAGAACTAAGATTCTGAATACAGCTTACCAATATAAAATCTACTGGGCAAGAGCTACTTTTGCACTAAGGGCCCAACTCTTGTTCAGCTGGACAGCAGCAAAGCAGGAAAGGCTGTACCATACTGGACATCTGAGACAGCGTGAGATCCTTACAGGGACTCCCTATCAATCAGTAGGGCAAAATGCTACTCTAACTTTCCCGAGAACATACTGCAATTTCAGGGAGCCACAGATCATGCTCAGTGGCCCCTCACCTCCACATGCAATGTCTGTACACTGGCTGCATGTTGGCTGTGGGGCGAGGACACCCTAGGGGCACTGAGCTGGCCCCATCTTCCCTCATGCTGGGAGATGTACCCGCAGGGCATTGTGGCTTCCAGTCCACCCAAGCAAAGGGGGATCAGGCCGAGCCAGAGTTTGTGGTCCCCCACCCAGTCTGGGTGGAGACTAAGATGGGTTCAGAGCAGATGATGATTGCTTCTGTGCTTCACTGCAAACATCTTGGGGAGGTCAGAGTTGCCCACCTAAGCTCAACAGCCCTTTCAAGCAGTTTCAGCCTGTTCTTTCAGAATAAGTACTACTTTTAAAGGAAGCAGAGAGAGAGGTATTCTCGTTTAGTCTTCCCTTTCTAGAGCAAATCATACTATCAGGGGTGCAAGGACAAGGGTATTTTTTTCATTCCAAGGACTAGAGCATCACCATGTGGTAGGTTTCTGTTTTGTCTGTATTTTGGACCAAAACAAAACACTAAAATTGCCTAAGATACATGCATCTAAATTTGCTCTCACAGTAAACAGGAAAAAATATAATAAGGAAGGCAGTTCAGTTAGTGTAATACTCAAATGATTTCAGGAGTAAGAAGTGTTAGTTTTCTTTTCTTTTCTTTTTTTTAAACATTTTGTGTATATACATACACACAGTAAGCTTAAGCAAAGACAGGACCAGTGCACAATTACAGACCAGTTGAATAATACTGATCTATGTTACTTAAAAACAAACAAAAACTCCCGAACAAACCACCCTGCTTTCTTAAGTAAGAGTGTATTAATTCTGTGGCTTTGATGTCCCCTTCTTTAAATATATAAAGAAGTGAAAATCTCTCCCCTCCCCACCCCCCAAATCAATCAGCAAATCGAGCAGGTAAATTTTTGATCATCACTACTGACTCTTAAGTAAGTAAGTGTTACGGACCCTTTAAGGTTGAGATACTTGCATGCTATTAATTTACTTCCTACAAATCTATTAAGGGACTAAATTCTGCTTTTACTTACTGCCAGTGACAGTAGATGACACTGCAGTGTTTGTATAAATACATAACTTCCTTGTGCCAGAATAAGTCAGTGGTTTCATGTCCACAGATTAAAAGACTAGGCCAAAACACAATAATCTAACCTGATGTTTTAAATCCTCTGATGTCTTGATGGGTGTTCTGTTATTCCTGAATGGGTATGCAAATTAATGGCTGTGCAACCGTGTTAAATAATTATGTAACTGAGTTCACTAAAAGCAGCTGGCAGCAGCAAGAAAGTCTTGTGTGCCTGGAGCAGGGGAGCAGGTAGTAGAGGGAGATGGCTGGCATGGCAGCAAGGACTACAGAAACTACGGGATGTTTTGAAGCCTGATGAGGACTACAGCAACTCCGGGAAGTTAAGCACCACCATGCTGGATGCCCCAGCAGTCACAGATGGGCAGTGCCCCTGCAGTGTCCAGCACAGCAGAATCTCTAGTTGCTGCACTGGCATACAGCATCAGCTCCTACTTTATTGTCAATCAAGCAAAATGTTTGGTCCATGGACCACAGAGGTTGGTCACGTTGCAGCTCTAGAGCTCGGTTTTCCTCATTCCCTTCTTGCCTAATCTCTTTTCCTGTTTTACATCACTTAGCTACCCATCATTATCTGTGAGACCTGCTGCATTGCATGCTTTTGGAAAACGATAAACAAATACAAGATAAAGCCTTGACAGAGAGTAGTTCCTAATTTATAGTACAGTGGAAAATAAAGTATTTGGCAGTACCCTGCAACTTTATTCCCTTATTCTGTATCTTCAAAAAAATAGTTCATCTTGACCTTTTCTCCAAACACCGATTCTATGTCTGTAGTAGCACACAGCTACTATACATAGCTGATGCCATATCCTAGTTCCCTAAGCAACTGAACGTTATTCCAGTGGATACACTTAAAGACCACGTATGTTTAACCAGACTGCTACTCAGGCAAGTACCATCTTACACCTTCTTTAGGTTTCTATTTCTTCATATCTACATTTAGGCCATAACATTTTGGGGGTTTGGCTTTGTGAATTTCTCTGAAGTACTTCAGAAACTTCTGGTATAAGACTGTGAAGTTTAGTAGCTGAAGTTACTTTGTCTAAGGCCATTAAGAACTCTTGCCAGTGCAGCTGGTGGCTAAGCCATATGTACAGCTGTGACATTTTCCTAGCACATCTGTGTTCTCTTTAATGTAAACTGCTGCACCAGCCAGACTCTGCTTCTACTGCTGCTGTTCCTTGTTTCACTCTAAGGGGATGATTTTATTGAATCAGTAATGGAATATAGCCCTTCCGTGCATAGCTGCAGATGTTTTACAAGTGTGTTACTGAAATACTTACACTGGTGTTTCCTGTACTGGCAAAGCACTCCTACTAAATGCAGCACTTTCTTGCCCTTCTGCATTATCAGGCAAGATTAAAAAAAGGGAGGGCTGTCCAGGAAAAGCATATTCACTGCATACTGTAAGCTTCCAGAGAACAGAGGAGGGTTTTGCAGGATTTTTTTTCCTAGCAAAGCAGTACAAAGTTCAGCACCAAATTATTTCCTAACAATAAGTGAGATTTTTTTTTTAAAAGCAGTAACAAGTTGATAAACTGTGTGTTGCCATAAGCCCTCACATTAAAAAAAGGGGAGAATTCTTTACAAATGCTACCAGATTACAGCTTTTATACTGACCAGGATCTGTCCTACTGTCCTTGCCCTGAAACATGGTCATTGCTTCCAGGTTCAAAGCACATACACCGCGCATAAAGGCTTTCTTCATGGTGTCTTCATACTGTTCTCTTTCACTGTGCAGTCGCAGAATCTCAGCTTTTGTCTGTTCCAAAGTAGCAGTTAGCTACAAAAGAGAATAAGGAAACAGCTTTTTGTACCTCCAAATGCAAATCATGAGTATACTCCTCAATTACTTTAGAAGCCACTTACTACTTTTACAAAGATAAGCCTTTTCACTTCAAAATCTCCAGTTCATCAGATAAAACAGTTACTTGCCATCTACTTCTCCTAGAGCACATGACTTGTACTAGAGCACAGAGATTACTAGAATGAAAATTATCTTGCCAGTTTTAACTCGTCTAGAAGTCAGGCAACTAGCCCAGGCGAAATTTCATCAGTAATTTGGATTCCCTCAATAGTCAGAGCAATAAATTTCCCCAGAAGACAATTCATCTTGTGCTCAAATAGTTACCAGACAGCGCACTTTTCTAGCCATTATTAAAACGAAACAAATACTGAGAAATGAAAGACCGAGCGGCTTGTGTAAATCACTGTTTTCTGATTGTATTTTTCCTTTACTGCATTTTCCAAAATTCAGCCTTTTCAGGTAGGTTTCTCGGAAGTTTTCTGAACAAAAGTCCCACTGTTTGGAAGGACTCAGTTTTAGAAATCCCACTGATTAGAAACTGGGCTTCAAGCTCTAATTTATCAAATAAGTGCCTATACTTGCACATACTAGTGTTAAGGAATTTTATTTCAGAGCAACTCTAGCTGGCAAGCAAATTCTTAAAATTTCTAGGCTTAAATTTTTGCTAAAATATATAGCTTTAAAAATGTGTATTTTAAAACTAACTTTAATTTACTCTGGGCACCAATATGCATGTTGACAAATTGATTTCACCTTAAACTTTCAAAATACTTTGATAAGCTTAATTGGCAAGGTGAAGGCAAAGCCAAACTTAAATTCAGCTTTAAATGGAATAGCTATTATAGAAAAAAAAAAAAAAGAGGTATTAATTTTAGTCATTCATAACAATAATAGCCTTTTATTTCCACTAAGTCTTCTTCAAGAAGACTCCAGAATGCATAGCAAATATTAACAGTGTGCTATTAGGAAACGAATATCATCCCCTTTATAGGTGGGCAAACAGAGATTCATCTCATTTCAGGAAGAGTCCAATTTTCTTCACCTGCTTGTGCAGATCAGCATTGTTTTATATTGGTTGCAGAAAATAGGGGAAAAAAAAGTTCAGATCTAGAAATTGAACTTCCATATTAGAGATCTTAGATCTCGTCACATCTCCTCCTGTACTTGGAGCTTTTTTCTGCTGTTCTTTTGGAAAGTCCTCATGTATTTCACGTTTGCAGAGAAAGAGATACCTGGAGGGATAGGAGGGAGAAGAACGAAAAAGAAATCTTACCTCTGCAATTTTGGCTTCATAATCATTAGTGAGCTGAACACAGACATCTTCTGCCCTTAACTGACAGGCTTTTGCTACTTTTTCTTTCCATCTTGCTTCACTAAGGGAGCGCCATGCTGCCCATACCTTCTTCATCAATGCTGTCTGAAATTGTCTGTCTGCTATTCTATTTGCATATCCCTTAGGAAACATATAACCACATTATATGCAAGTTTTTTTAAAAACTTAAGTACTCAAAAGAGCGTTGATGATTGTTTTTTGCAATGTGTTACACTGAACACAGGAGGAATGACTAAATTAAGCTACACATGCCACAGTGAAGTGGTTCACAAACACTGCGTGAACAATTTGATTCTTCTTCCTGCATACATGTCCAAGAACATTACTGTCCCTAGCGTAGAAAACATATTTGAGAACTCCTAGGTTACACAAAACTCTCTTTTTATTCTTAGTTTAATGACATTTAAACAACCATCTCACACATATGCTGTCAGCACGCACGTACAAAGCCATTAAGTTGGTATATGGCACATTTTGAGTCACTGCAAGAACCACATAAAACCCTGCAGTCACAGCGATCCCTGACAATTAGCATAAGTCACTTAGGGAAAAAAAAACTATATATACAAATAATTAAAATATTTTTTCAGAAATTGATTAGAAAAAAGTTGAGAAAATTCCCAAACTAGACTCCTAGTAATTAGTAAATTCTAAGATCAGGGTGAGAGAAAAGAGAAAATGCTGCTCCTCTCTGTGCATTTCCAGTAAGCAGATCACAATAATGAAAGCTATATATAAAATTATGTAATACATTTTAAAATGTATATTATATATAAACATACATATTATATATAATGATATAAATAAAACAATAAAAGTATAATACAAATATGTAATATAAATCTCTCTCTCTATATTTATATCTTTAGATATATTAAAAACTAAAAAAGCATGTAGGTTTCATTTTTTCCTCATCCCACAGGTATTCTGACCACAGTGTCCTTTTTTGAATTGATGTTTTCAAACTGTTATTCAACACTATCAAAAATATCAACACTGGAACACTGTCATTTCTTCAAACTGTAACAAGAACATCAGCAGCTATGACCCTTTTGAGTTCAGAGGTTCCACTTTCACCGTATTTTTATTTTGCACACATACCTCTTGTTTGGCTTCGACATGCTGAACCCGCCACAGCATAAATTTTCTCATCAACTCTATTCTCTCCTTTTGCTTCTCTAATGCTTGAGTCAAGTTAGCAATTACCTGCAAAAATATTTCTATTTATTATTTCAATAGCAATAATATTTTTAAGATAAAATAAAATGTACTGCCTTCATCAGTTATTTGTCATTTCAAGCACTCACTTTTAGAAGCAGCTTTCCATTAAATCTTCCTTTAAGTCTAATCAAGCAAAAAACAATCAGAGTTCAAATCTGGAGTGAAATTCTTTTGGCTTCAACCTTTGGACTCTGCAGCACTTAGACACTTTCACTGAGTAGCTTTAGGAAAAACTCAGCTGAATTGTCATTTCATCCCACAGCATCTGCAGGATTCTGTTCTACTTCCTTGTAATCAAATGTTACTGTAGTATAAAGTCAGAAGAATCATCTATTTACAAAAACAGCTTGGTGAATCAACCAGCATTTATATTGTTAAAAGTTTGCTTTAAATCAGTATTAATTGACTGAAATGTAAGGAAACAACTGTTGATCTGTATAAAATTTATTCAATGTGCTAAACAGAATAAGCAAGCTAAAGAATTGCTAAGAACTAGGGGGGGAAAAAAATCAAAATAAGAAATGTTATTCTCTTTAAAAGGTCTCATCAAAGATACCATCCAGATGCCTATGAGAATCAAAATTTGAGAAGCAAGATGGCTTACTGGACTGAGAATGTAACTGAGGACTTCAACCACCAACCTCTAAATACATTATAATTAGTGTAACAAGAACATCTGAGGTTCACCGACTAAAATTTACGCGAGACATGATGCAAACTGATTATAGCAAATGACTGAGCTGTTCTCTACATTTTTGCCTAGCCTCTTAAGCTAGATTCTTCTGAGAAACACTAATGGGCAACACTGACAGATTTTGGGAAATGAGTTACCTGCATTTAAAGTTATTCTAACCACTGCATAAAGATGGTAAGGAATAATCTTTTATGGTGTTATATGCTATTAATCATTGAACATAAGTCAATGAAATGACTAGTACTCAAAATAAAATTTACCTTTAAATCAAAGCAATTATCTAGCAAATAGTTCAAAGCTCCTAAGTTTTGGTACAGAATTTGATACACACTGCTCTAATTGTAATTTGCAGGCTATTTAAGAAATACTACTAGATAAAAGCTTGGTTTCTTTAAGGTGGTTAGACTTACAACACCAGCAACACATGAAGGTCATTTTGACACATTTAAAGTAATTAGAGCAGAGCTGTCTTGAGTTTTTAAGAATGAGTTCTTCATAACACTGTGTTTTAATATATCTAATTTAATTAAGCTACTTTTCTCTGCTTAAGTATGACCAATTTTAACTTTCACAGTTTCAGAATAAAAATGCGTTATTTATATATTAAATAATAATTTGAATTGATCTCGTATTAGAAATAAATTTTCATAAATTGTCAACAAATCAATTAGAAAAGAGAAAGCAAAGAAACTGAGTATAAATAATTTACTACCTTTGTTGAAACAGTGCGATACCCTAACTTAAACCATCAACTTTTGCTACTGCAAACAGACCTAAATCTGTTTGTTAATTAATAAATTTTTGCCATTAAAAAACATAAGAAATCTTACAAAAGAACTCCAACATGAGAGCAAGAACCTAAGTTATGAATAATGTTTGTGAGGCAGATTGACTTCAGGTTGTGGCCCCATTAGAATTCATCAGTTTTGATGTCTATGCTGTCATACATGGAATTACTGCCACCTATCGTTACGTCAAATCATTCTCCGTGAAAAGAATTTTAGAAACAGAACGATAAAATCGGATAACAAAATTGTTCCACTTAGCAGATAAGTAACACCAAGAATTATGACACATTAAATATGTGTCATAATTATGGCACATTAAATACGATATCCAACAGCATTAAGTAGGTTTGAATGGTATACCCTGAAATAATTATGGGCCTGAAAGTATGTCCCAGTTAAATGATACTGTGCTAATCCTGCTCTTCCCATGTTACAACATCTGTACATTTGCTTGGTCTGTAAAATCTGGTTGTTTTCCAAACCGATACGGAACATGACCTTTCATTCTTTCTCCACGTTTTAATTCCTTCCAAGAGTGTTCTAGAATAGAGTGCAATTTTTTTTTTGTTTTTGTTTTAAACTGAGAAGAGGAATTAAAAATCTGGACTCCATTAAGTGTTCTCAAGTAGAAGGTTAAAAATTCAGGACAGAAATAAGAGGACCCAATTAGGTTATGTTACTGCAGGGCTGTCACAATTTTATATTCGCTCCCACAATTTGGTTTAATTTCAAAATTGCTGGTGTTGACGCTAGTAGAAAACTGTATCTGAAAGACCACAAATCTACAACCCTAAGAATTCGTCAAAATAGAGACTCTAAACATTTGGGAGACTGCTGCATAGTTGAAATACGAGAAAACCCATCCAATCTTGGCAAAAATTAAAAAGCTCTTCAAGTGTAATAGCTAAAAGACTCATCCAAACTGGCATGATTCTCATGAAAATAACAAATAAAGTACAAGAGCAGCCCCTAGATTTCAAAAAAACCAAAGAATGCAAAATATATACAGACGACATCTGTTAAATTTCCACTTTTAATACGTCATTAGCAACAATGATTCTTTTTTCCACTATACAGTCTAAATATACTATTTACTTATCCATGTTACTTGCTGCAAGAAGAATTCTGTTGTTCAAGTATAATTAAGATGGATGCAAATGAGTCAATGTGGAGATTTTTGAAAAGAGAAAACAATTGAATTATGAAAATGATATATTACCTCATCTTTTCTGCCAGTAGAGATTTCATAAGTATGTAGCAACTCTTTCAGGTTTTCCATTTGATTGTTCAATTGTCTGACATGTGCAGCGTGTTTCTCTCTTTCTTGTTTCATTTCAAGCTTGTGATGTTCAATAAAACTAAGTTTCCATTTTCTCAACTCAGTCAGAACATTTGTCTGAAAAGTTAAAGGAATGGCAGTAGCGAAGTTAGTAAAATTATTCTCTGCTCCCCAAAGTTGTAATCTTAAAACACTCAGTAATTCAGTGGACGTGAACATTTGCAGTGAAGCATTCAGTAGGCAGGCTTTTTATAAGCATTACCAGACATAATGAACTCTTGAATGATGAAAATTGAATATCCCTAACGGAGAAAGTTATTCCAAAGGTCCCTAGCTCTTGTACAAGATATTGCTTACATGCAATAAACAACAACAGCAGCAACAAAACTCCACAACAAAAATCATTTCCCAGTGCAATCACATGACAACTTTTCTTGCACTATCACTTATTCTATGACAACACACTGACGTCTGCATGTTATTCTTAAGGTTTCAAAACAAAACACATACCTTAAGACTTCCGCTCCAGAGATCAAGTATGCTTTCTATTTGGGTCACTTTTTCATCAGGAACAGTTAATTCGGTCACTATCTCTTCACTGATTTCTCTTGGACTGCATGCAGACCCTCGAGAAGAAGTCTCTTCTGAGAGAACAGGGCAAAGGTGTTCCATGTTGGCCTCACAAGGCCCCTTCACTGACGTTAAAACTAAAAACGAAGCAAAGAGAAAGGACTGATACTCTGGAAAGGCTAACTGGTCTGAATTCTGGGTGCAAGTCAGAAACCAGGCATCTGGAGGAAAATTTTATGCCACTAAAAACCTCCTTTTCCTGTGTAAAACAAACTGAACCCAACTCAAATATATGCTTCTAAGACATAATTATATTTAAACCACTAATCGCACTGTAACAGTAGTCAAATCACAACTACTGTTGCCTTAAAAAACTGAAACTTTTAAGGTCATTCATGTTAAAGAGGATGATTACAGCCAAGTATCATGAAAATAGTTTTGCCAAAAACTAAAAGCCCATTTCTCAATAAAGACTGCTTTTAGGTAAATATCTCATGTCAGAAACCCACAAACTTTTGCCATTATCCTCAGTGTGACTGTAAACTCCCCAGGACAGTGGCTTGTGTATCCTTGTGCATTTGCAGCTGCACACTGTAGTGCGTATTTTAATGTTGGTATGTATCTGCAACCATTGCATGGCCCCTTCTCCCCTCTGCGCCCCAGCTAAGAGTTAGTACCTCCCTAGCTCAACTCTTCATACTACTTTCCTTATACCCTTTAATTTGCTCATGTATTTATACTTTGAGCTCTGAGACAAGAAATGTCTTCTATGCACTTATACAGTGCCTTACACAACAACGCCTTGCTTTCAGGTGGTGCCACGAACTATGACTACAACAAAAGTTAAGATATGCCCAGAAACCAACGGACACGGCCTTGAGTTCCAACTGATGAGAGAATGGGCTAAGATTAAATGGACTCACATTTAGCTGAACACAGGTAATTAAAATATTGTTTCATAATTAGTTGATCCTTATGGAAAATGTGTCATTAGAGTTGACAGCTGAAAGATTATAAGGAAATTTGGAAAGAACAAGAATTAGCAAAATCCTTGTATTACTGACAATTGGGACAGTTTTAGAAGAACACTTTCCTTCTTGCATAAATGAAGAGAGGAAAACTCCAACATTTTAGTTTTCCTTTTCGAAAATGAACATTGTACAGTTGGTTTCATAGTGGGTAGGTACTGCTTTCTAGTACAAGCAAGCAGAGATAAGCTGGACTGTTTATCACAAAGCAGTGGTTTCAGTGGATGCTGGAAATCTTTGTTTCTAACTTAACACTATCCAAGCGCTGAGCCTGATGGCTGACAGTCTTTTACAGCCACTGTCACAAACCATTGCAGGAGTATTAAGTCTTCTGACAAAGGAGGTGAGACAGTCTGTGGATAGAAAAGCTGTCTGGCTAATATTCACTCCCAGCAAGTAGGGTGAATTGAAACTACCTCACTCATGCTCCGAAATAAGGATGAGCTGTGATGCAGAGGCAGAGTTGTATTCTTTTTTGGTGTTTCTTCTAACAAAATACACAATTGCACATCAAACTTACCATCAGACTGACTTGGAGAAGCCCCATCTAACACACCATTTCTCTAGACTAAATTCCACACTTCATTACATAAGCAGAAGTCTAAAAGTAGATTATTCCCAATCACACCAGTATACTAAGATCGGCATCTAGGGTTTGTCATTGTTTCTCCTGCAAATGAGAAAAGTGTTGCTTATGTAATGGTAGAATTTGAATACTCAAGTGTCTGTAAAGGACTGTAAAAAACAACATGCAAAACAGATGCATTTCAAGTAGTTTTGGTCATCTAATTTCAGTGATGTAGAATCTGGCTGGGGTTCCACAGTATGTACTATTTCAGCATTATTACTGTCAAGCATTCCCAGTTCTGTCCTTTACCACTTTTTCCCATCCCTTTGTGGCAATGTGCTCCTCCTTCAACTGTGCCATTGCTGTAAAATGTACAAAGGGTTTTTTTTAAGTTTTTGTTTGGATTACAAAGATATCTAGTGTATACTGCACAGTTCAAAAGATATTTTTAAAGAAAGAAACAGGAAAAAACGAAACCAGTAAAAAAGAGGATATTAAGCTAGGTTGACAACTGTCACTGTCCTAGATTGTAGTACTACAAGTTCATCTTCTTCCCACTGCCCCCACCTTATCCTCCCTATGGACAGATTGTCCTAACTTAGCTTTCATTCCTTCTTGTACCTTTCTTTGAATCCACTGAGTAGATTTGTTACATGTCTGTATTATCATTCCATGTAATTTATCCTGATCTTGTAGTACTGTCAACATTTCCCAGTTGTATACATATTAAAGTCATTCTTGTCATCTCTTCCTTTACTTCATTACATGATGCCACTCAGTTACAGTACACTAAGTTATCAAGGACATGGAGCCATTCAGATATGATAAATACAAGAAAGTACGTGGAATGCACTGTCTAAAATAATAAGTCCATATATTTACTCCAACATATCTCTAGACCATCTTTTTATTTATAGAAGAGGTCATGAAATTACTTGTTTTTCTGGCTGTCTGTTATCCCAGTATTACTGGTCTTTTTTCTATGTACCTCTAATATCTAACTTTTTGTGGTTTCGCTAGGTAAATACACTCTGACAGACTTGCACAGAAGCAGCATTCAGATGTAAAACTAGGCAAAACCAATTTTTTTTAATAGAGATATGCTGTATCCTAATTATATAATCTTGCTTTCCATTCATATTGAATGATAACTGCTCAGCACCTTTTAGGTTAGCATACTAACAGTGCCTTCAGGAACACCTGATACCTAAACCCTGAATGGAACTCTGACTTCTTTGCACTTTCAGAATAGAGAATGAAAAAATACAATTATTCAGTAAATTGAGAAGAATTGACTTGGAATTTGATCAGATTCAGAATTAGGTCTTGTGAAAACGTGCCACGTGACCCCCAGTGTTGTCTCCAGTCAGCTGAATTTTTCAGGAATCTGTGTTAGTTCTATTTTAATTTGCAAGCAAGCAAACCTAGTTTTTAGGTTAAAATTGTCATGTTATTGCTCAGACTGAATAGATAAAATATTTGCATGCCTATTTTACATGTAAACTGTCAACATCTGCAGTTTTATACTTCAGGTGCACACTATGGATTAACATTTTCTGATGATATTGCAAGCATGTGGCATATTAAGTGGCATACAGTACTTAATACCACCTTTTAAGGAGAAATTCAGGGAAGAAAATATATGCATTATAGTATATAAATGATCTCATAGTCTTTTATGTTTAAGAACTTTGTAATTATTTACAGAACAGGATACAGCTGAGGCTCTCATTCACTCCATTTCTTAAATGCATGAATGACCAGCTTTATTCCAATGTACATTTTTCATCAGTTTTCATGAAGTGGAGAGGAAAAAAAAAAGCTTTTTCAGTTCACCAGTAGCCTCCTCTATCCCTTTCCCCCCAAAATTAACAGAATGTGTTTCTCAGCAAGAGGTAAATTTAGAAGTAGTTGAAGACTTAACAGTTCTTTGTCAGAATGAAAAGCACTATTAAGAGTTTTAGTGAAACAAGTATTGAGAATGCTTGGAAGAAATTCCTAGTAATAAAAGATCTCCTGTCATTTTAATTGAGATCAAGCAGCTCCTACTTAATTTGTCTTTGACAGATGCCTTCAGTTAGGAAATTCAGCAGTCAAGATACTTCTGGACATAAAAACTAAAACCAAATAATTCTATTTCCTTATGCACTACAGGGAAATTAAAAAAAAAGAAAAAAAAAGCACTGAATACTTCAAACTCTTCTGACCTTCAAAATATGTTGCAGAAACCATTTATTCTTTTTAATAGAGGAAAGTTAGAAAGATTATACAATTTTTTTTCCTCAAACATGAACTGCTATCATTGGACCAAGCTGGAGGTAGCAATTTGTTCAAATCTTTAGAATTTTGTAAAAATGTTCTCAGAAATTTAATGGCTCAATACTGAGGATTGATAGCCTGAAGAGAAAGAATTTTCCCACTGTCTGGGTATGAGTCACCATTCCACATCTTTGCTACTTTACTGCTCCTCTTATGTGCTTTCAGATTTAATCAACTAGACTGATAACAAGAACGGGAAATTAAATTTTGGATTTCAAAGTTTAAAAGCATCTGGGCATTAGATTGAATAGCACAGTATGCTTTATTCCAACTATTCTTCATATTTGACTGGAAGCTTTTAGTGAAGTTTAGTGAATTATTTATCACTAAATTTACTGAAACAAATAAAGGTTACCAGTAACTGGACTTCTACAGTCATAGTACACCACTAGGGCAGTCAAAAATCTTGGAAACTGCCACTTTAATTTTAAAAACCTGATGAAAAAGTCAAGAAGTAGTACCAAAAGATACTCCACAAACACAACTTCATTCGAGAAGACATTACGTACCAAAATCATGTGGAGAACAAAAAAAAAAAAAGAAAAGAAAAGAAAAGCTTTGAGATTTTCTGCAGAAGAGTGAACTTTCTGTCTTAACATTACACACAGTATAGACATGCCTTTTATTCTACAAACTTACAGAACAATACCCTGATAATTTATGATTTAGTATTTTAACACAGCCACAACATTATAGCAGGACAGGAAAAGAACTAATGTCAAAGAGCCTGATTTGTAACATGAACTTGTAGCAATCCCAAAAGAACGGGGCTGAACAAAAAAAATCAGAACTGTCCTCTTGAAACAACCTACCCATCTACCAGTATCAGACGTGTAATATTGAGCTTGAATTTGTCTACATTTCCACTTTTCATACAATGCCTTGTCTCATCAGCACCCAAAAAAAAACAAAACAAAAAAACCCAAACCCTGCGACAAATACCACTGAAATATTCAATCACCCTTGATCAATACTGGAGGTTCTGTAAAAGAGTTGGACATATTTTGGGCAGATCCTTTTTTAAGGTTGAAATAAATTTAACCTTCTTTCAATAATTAGATTGCATGCAGATCTGTAACTGTTTCAAGACACCTCCCTCCCAGACTGACAGGAAGTAGTGACATTTTGAACAGCAAACCTATATTTTGATAAAGAAGCTAAGCTCTACAAGTTGAAATACTGTGTGGTTAGTAGAAGCATGATGGAGGCCATGTAAATATTTTTCTTGCCTCAGTCTCTGATAGAAGAACAATGCGCTAGTTTGCAAAGATAAACATATAAGTATCTACAACTGAGAGGAAAAGCTGGCTTACATAACGAGTCATATACAAAACTGCGATTGAGAAATTTTGATTAACCATCAAGTGTAAGAGCATTTCCTTGCTGCTAGGGCAACTACAGCTTACAAATGACTATTCTTATTTGGTAACACCAAGTATATTAAAAAATAACTCTATTCTAATCTTTAAAGAGACAAATCAAGGAAATTACTGTCCTCTCACGTCTATTGTGCAACTTTAAGGAGTGGAAAGGAATATAGACTCAATACGCTACATTTTTGGCATCAAAACAAATGTAAGAAGATAACCCCTCTCACAGAGATAGCAGGAACTGTAGCTAGGGCTGGCAAAAAGTTCTGTACTGAGACACAGAAAACCGCAAATGGAATACATACAATCACCTACCCCAAAAAGCTGCAGTCTACTGTTTTGATTCTGATCTTCTTCCTTATGAAGAGCAACACCACGCACCACAAATACTGTTATAAAAGACAGTTCCACTCAAACCGAATGACAAAACTCAGCTGTTTACTTTCATAATTCTGAAGAAAAATCATACGATTAGCCAGAAACCTAGATCCACCTATATAAACATAGAAGACTCTGTGGATGATATCTGAATAGGGATTTGCTCCACAATGCTGATCCGAATGGTTCAGTTTGGAATTGTTCTTGTTCACCTTCTAAGAGAAACTTCTCAGGCACAGGAATGTTTCTAGCAGTTGTCTTGGAACTGCTCTAAATTCTAGAGTTTTGCAGTTATATTTGAATACTGGCAATCTACTAGCTACAGGGCTTTCTTTGGCTGTAGATATCAAAGATAGTTTAGTAATAACCTTTACTTTAATCTAACATGCTGCAATTTTCGCTGCCTTGTTGTATCATTTGATACAACAAATGAGGATGTTTTTGTCCCCAAATTAAAACAATCATCCGTAGCATAATTTTTGTTTGATTGTTTTGTTTAACCTACAACTAACTGCTTTCATTTTAGGAGTTGCAGGAATTTCTGTTACTACAGAGGAATATTTTCTACAACATTTGACTGTTTGGGAATAATTGCCATAGCACAAAATATCAACAGCTTCTACTGATCACATTTTTTATACAGCCTTGGCATACCTCTTCCATGGGACATGACTACACTGGATGAAGTTAATCAACTTCTATGCGTAAAATTCATAAACCAGAAGTTCCATAGACTATTCTTGAAACTTCTATGTTAGCAGAATTTTTTCTAAAGTAATCAACATTCCAATTCCGGATCCTGTTTCCATTACAGGACATTCTCTCTCTCTCCGAACCACCATTCTCTCCTGCTTTCAACAACGGCAAAATCATGCCTTGTACGTTTCCTATAGGAGTCTGATATTCAGAGAAACAACTACAGTAATTCTGTACAGGGGGGAAGTTACAGATACAATATCCACAGGGACTAAGTTCCTCCACTGGTTGACAAAATGACAAAACATTTCTCCTTATGGCATATCGGAGGGAAGTACTGATTTGAGGGCCTGCATGTGACTAGATGCCACTGCACACACTCACTGCGGAAGGAGAAGCACACAGAGCATAACCAATACTGCTGTCCTCATTTTAATCACATTCCTTATTTTAAGAACACTATTTCTAGATCAGTTTTGGTTTTAATGTATTAACATGAGTTAACTAAATGGCAACTAATAGCTTACTAAGGCTGATGTATATTCTAGTGAAAATGGTAATTTCAGCATATGTACTTATTTTTGGTCATGGTTCTTTCTAGTATGAGAGAAACTTCTGCCAGCGTCTGCACTATCCTTTGCAATTGCACTAGTAAATTTCTGTTAGTAGAGAGTTATTTAGCTCTCATCAGCATCTCTTGCATACATCAGCCATGAAGAACATTTACTCCAGTGGAGACAATTAGCACCAGGTTTACATACCACTTCAAGGCACTTAATCTCTATTTGTGGAATGATCTACCCACTTCCATACCCTATGCTCCTCTAAATAATAGAGACAGACCTGGCATCAAGGTCCCAACTTTCCTTGAGGGCAGGATACAGAAAAACAGTCAGCAAAAAACTGTAGATAAGTATTTTCATCATGAAAGGACAGACCTTCTAAACAACAGAAGTTAGTTTAAGGTAAGTTCTTCATGATTCTTTAAGTTAAAGTCCCTAGTAGAGAAAGAATACAAGTATGATCATTTACTGTTTCTTCTGCAACAAAATGAACAGAACTTCCTCAAGCGAAATGCTAGTGACAAGAGCAAACAATACATAACCATAAATACCAGTGTTACTCTTAAGTTTCATCACAATACATCACAAAACACAATGTGTACACATTCTTGAAGAGCAAGTAACAGAGTAAAACTAGAACAGAGTGAACTATTGAACTGAACTGAAGGTAGTGCAGTGGCAATGCACTACTCATGCAGTGACTGGATTAGCTATCACACAAGGCCCCTTTCAAGTAATTCTTACTTCAAAGTAACAAACCTTTAAACACATATTTATCTGTCATGGCAGCACAGGTATGAGCAAAAACAGCTGTGAACTCTCAAACTTCTATAAAAAATACTCAGGGAGGACTCCAACTTTTGCATTATTACACCAACCACCTTCAACATTTCTTTTACACATTATGCCATGGTTAGAACAAAGAACTGTCAGCACATCAATACCATCACCTGAAAGCTATGTTACAGAGAGAACCTTCAGTGAACATAATACCTCCCATAATATTTCTTCTTGTTCAAAATGTAAATGTATTATACATGCACTGTACATTCCTTTCAAATAGAAGCTATTAGAAAAGTTTTATCGATAACATTTTATCATTGTTCTTGTAAACTCAACTCACAGCTTTGCAGGTATTACCTGGAGTCTTACGGTGAATGACATCATCTGTTACATTTGAAAACCTGTTACCTGCTCTCAGTTCTGAGGCAGGTTCTGACCACTTTGGGACACGATGTTCAAACTTTGGAGTCACTACAGCATAACGAAGCAGCTCTTCATATTCATCCTGTTACAAAATGGGGACAAATAGTTATAAAGCTATGATTATGTTTCCAAAACTTAGGTAGGAGGAGGAAAGTGTGGAAATGATTTTAGATAATATTTTGGGAGTATTTTGTATTATAGTTGAAACTAAAAGGGTTTTCCTTAAAACTGCAAAAGCCACCTATTTTCTTAATATTTAGAAGTCATTTATAAGAGGTTATCACTCTCTTATTTCCTGTTCTAAAATGCATTCTATTTACGACTAGATGCAGCGTAGTAGTTACAGCTGACAATTTTGCTAGATGCCAGAATTAGATATTATAGTAGGCCCCTCAAACAAAAATACAAACTACGAAAACAGATTTCAGAAAAGGAATCAATTAATACTATTTTTGAGCATCACTGTTACCACAGAGCTGTAAAAAAATTTTATATCCATGACAAAGATGCTACTGAGCAGAGAGTCACATTTCACATGCTGTAACATTATAATTTATTTGGGAGGAGTTACAAAGCCAATCATCAGCAGACATTTGATTATCCAATATTTTTCTTTAATTAGATACAGCTATTCTCACCATATATTATACATTTCTTAAATTATATAGCTATGGTGGTGGTGTGTGTATAAAACTAACATAAAAGCTTGCCCTTTAAAAAAAATTATGAATCAGTGCAACTGGTATATGGCTTTATACTACATGCTGATGTAAATCAAGTGAGTTAATGTTTTCTTGAAGTTTCCTAATTAAACAGATTTTCAGAATAGAAAGAGTGAGTTCAGCGTGAAGCTGAACAATCTGTATTACAGCTTAAACATTATACAATCCATTCCAACAGCGATTAAAAAAAAAAAAAACGGTTCCACTAGCAGTTAATGCTTACTGAACAAAGCCACTAATTAAAATGTGTTCAACAACGTTAGTTTGAAAGTATTAAACCAGGACACTAGCTTTTTCTTCATTTAACATTATTTCACTAGTTCAGTTTAGCATCCTAATGAGTTCAAGGCTCAGAAACCAATTGCGAATTGAAAAGTTATTTTCCTGTTCAAGCTGGGAAAAGTCAGAATGGAAAAAATCAGTTTAAATGTACCGATTGCATGTAATACTTTGTTGAATCAATCAGCTGAAATGCATAATGTTTCGACACAGTCAATGTAATCTATGTGGGTTTCTACTAATCAGAGAACATTTAAAGAAGCAGGTTTTGTGTTTTAACTGAATTCTAATTTCCTTTCAACTTTCCATTTCCCATCTTCTAGGCTATCGTGTTAAAATTAAAAGCCCAAGTAATCATATATGAAGCTATATGGTTATAAACAAGTACGTATAGCATATGTTTTTGGTAAGGTAGTACCGCATTCCATGTAAAAGTTATAGTTAGTTGCAAATCAACAGATTACCGGTTTTTTAGATTTAACCCCTAAAGGAAATAAAAGTGCAGAGATAACAAGATAGCACAAGAGTGAACGATGTACATCCAGACTTCCTGATTTCAAACGTAAATCCTGATTCAAATTGTGACTTAAACTGGTTTTACTTAAAGGGGAACTATTCTTCAATGTATGTTCTTACTCTGTGCAAGAACTGGATAATATTACCATAAAATACATGCAAGCCCTAAGATAACGCTACATGCTTCATTAAAAAAAGCTAACACACATCTGCAGTTAGGCCATGCATATTGTTTAACGGTACTAAGTACTTACTTAAACTCCTTAATATGAGCACAATTCGTTTTATATTGCATGTTATGTGAAGGCCAAAAGATGATGAGCAAATTGTTGTCTAGTATATTCTGATGCTATCAAGCCCCAAATGCATAAGAACCTTTAATATGTGAGCTGATATTCATAAAACAAGTCACTACTGTTAACCAGAACAACAAAGACACAGGTAAGTATCTGAGCAATGAGACCTTGGCATTAAACCTTGGTATTAAAACTTGCAGACTTCTTAGTCCAATGAAAGAAGTGTTTTATTTCCTTTAAAAGTTCTGCCCATACAGATGTTTTAAGACCAAATTTATAGGACTATCCTAGAATATTCTAACCACGCACGCTACTGTATTCTACCACTTCAAATGCATAGTCATTGCTTCCTACAGAAGTACAGTTTAAATTCTATGAGATCTCAGAAAAACGAAGAACTCGGGTATCTTCTAAATAATTGGTGTTGCAAAGGGCACAAAAGCATTTAGAAGTTTTTCCCCCTCCTTCTTAAAGGATAATAAAGATCTATAGATGCTGCATGGAATTTGTCCTTCGGAAGGCAGTCAGGGTAACTAAACAACAGGAGAAGAATGGATTGAACAGCTTCAGCATGTTTTCCAACTACAACAGCCACTGGAAACACAGATGAATTATTTTTGATGAATACAGATTAAGAAATCTTATCCACAAGACATGTGTGAAAAAGTGTGAAAACCAATTACCCCTAAACAGGTAGTTTAAAACGGATAATGTCAATCCACAGGAAGAAAAAGTTAATTTATCAGTGCTTCAGCTGTACACACCCATTGTGCTAGGTGACCAAAGCAGGGACACATTTCTACATGACAAATAGCAAAAATTATTAGTGCAAAAGTAGTTTGTTTTGGATAGAACCCCATCAAAGAAAAAGATACTACCCAAACTGCAATAGCCAATTATTAAATGATGAAACTCTACCTCTTTCAAGACAATAGGATAGAGACTTTATTCAATACTTTCACATCCTCTCAAAAGGACGTTGAGCACAGTAAAGCAAAAAAACCCCACCATTAAAGTTCCAGTATACAGTGGCACATTTGTTGCAGGAAAAAAAAAAACAATGTTTCTTTTGAGACACCAACTTAGGCACAACCCTACTCTGCGGGGAAATCTGCGGGGAAAAAATATCCATTAAACAAACAAACAAACCAACCACTTCTTACAATATCATTTAAGAAGACTATTATATAGCTGTGCTTCATCCCTCACAAATAACGGGTTTCTACCTTACTGTGTCAAATTTACTCTTCTCAACCAGACTTATCACACATATAAAAAGTAATATACACACAAAAGAAAACTGCACCATTTTACTTATAGCTGTCAGTGACCTGTTTCCTAAAGTTAGATGAGACTTTCCCATATATTGAAATTTCTTGTGAAATGGACAAAAGAGAAATTCAAGTTTTTTTATTCTCAAATTGTACTTGTCTGATTTGCTTCCTTTCACTAACATTTATACTATTTTTCCCACGCACCTAAAATATAGAAAGGATGCATGAGTTATTTATAACATTTCCTCATAATTATCCTTTGCCAAAGAGAAAAAAAAAAGCTGTCATAAGAATCAAATGAGGTTGCTTCTTTCCTACCTGAAGATCTGAAGAAACAGAACTGCCACGAACTGAGTCTTTTGGCAAAACAGGACTTGTGCTTTTCTCCTCATCTGATGACATTCTGCACAAAGTTAGTCTATAAAACAGTAGAAGCTGAACTTCACTTTTTAGTTCGAACAGGTTTGCTCTATGTTCACCTGTATTTTTTCCAGCAACACAAACTCCACTGTAGTAACTACTTTAATTCACAGTTGGTGTGCTAATCTGAACACGTGTGATGTTACTGTATAGTGTCTGTACTACACAATGTGATGAGTATAGACTGGTAGGTATTTAACTGCATGATTCAAACCATACTCAAAGCCGTGAAGAGACTTCCACTGACTTCAAAGGATTCTGAATAAAACAACAGAGGACTCAAAAGCAACAAATTAAAAGTTTTCTGTTGTTCTGAGTTAACGGAATAAGTTCGTCATACCTAATGTTCTATGCTACACAACACAAAATTTTGCATTGAAAGTAACAGTAACTAACACGCACTGCCAGAGAAAAAAGAAATAGATATATAAAGAGCGAGAGAAGCCTCAATTTACTGTTGCATGTCTGTGTCAGTCCCTCCATCTTATTTACACTTTTGGAGCTTATTAGCTTGTTTCAGTACAAAATTCCTACGGAGTGACATAGGAATCGCTAAGCTCCGTTGTGACTTTTTTCCCCTGGAGCTACCGCAACAACAGTCCAAGTTGACAGGATGCCCTGAACACTCCAATCCTAACACCTTGAAGCTTCTCCATAGTGGTCAACATCAGTCTTCCTCCACCTTCTACTCTGCTTCAGCTGTCACCTTACAGCTCCAGGAAGATGACCAGATATTGAGAGGACAGGCAATTCATTCTTAGCTCCAGTTAATGTCCCTCATTCTAGCAATTCCTAGGCAAGGTAGTGAAATATTCTTGAATATCTGGGAAACAGTGATGCTGCAGAAATGATAGGAAACTTGACTTTCTAAAAGTTTTTTTTTTTTTTTTTAAATCTACTGCAGCATTGCAAAACCCCCTTCAAGCTAGAAAACTTGAGAGGATATGGGACACGGAAAAACCAAAATAATTAAAAAACTAAGTGGGAGCTGATTATTAAGAAAGAGATAGGTTAATGAATGAAGGGCAGAATGATGCAGCTGTCTGATGAATGTGAAAAGCCATGATCAGACACATTCGAGCAAGGGAATTGTCAGCAGAGAATATGCATGGGAGGAAGACCAACATAAATAATGAAAGGAATTGGCTGCCTGTACTGTGTAGCAAACAATTATGCAAAGAAACATTTATTTTTAAAGAGACATTTAAGAGTGTCAACTATAATGTTTTTTTTTTAAACAGATGCGTTTTCTAACAGAAATGTTATTTTTAAATTGCTAGTTGTACTGTCACTAAATTGGCAGGATATATCCTCCTTAAGTATCATCATCTTTTTTCAAAATTTCAGAGAGACATGCAATAATCTCATAGTTCTGTATATAGGAATACAGCTGGAAGTTAATTGTCTTTTTATTCTAGATACTGATTCTTCCTGCACCATAAAAGCTCTGCCACAGTGAAAACTTTTTTACATTCAGCTTCTGCCAAGCTAATTCCCTTTGCTTCTGACCCACGGGAAGAAAAGTTTCCTGAAAAAGTCATGTTTTAGCAGAACTATATTTTACAAAAATCAAATGCCCATAACAACAGGTATTTGAAATGGAAACACTGAAAGAACTTTCGACCTTATAAACAGCTAGTCTGCAACAGTTCACTTCATAAAATGGAACTGACAAGTGAAAATTCCAATTATTAGTAGCAAAGATAATTCTAAATCCTGCAACTGTACCGACATGAACTGGCCTTGGGACTTATTCAGGGTATAAACTTACATTTTGATTATTGCAACATCATTTTCCTGAGCTTGATCAATGTAATCTTTCCATATAGACACCCATCCAAAAGCCTACTGCAAAGGTAAGTTTCTTAGTTAGTCCTTTGACTTCCTGAACCCTTTCCAGGAATCCTGTCAACGTCTCTCCTTCTCTCTTATCTTTACTTTCAAGACCCTTCATAAGCTAACCCCACCATACCTATCAATTTTTATTTCCTTCCACTCTGCCCAAGTTGCTAGCCTGTACTGCTCATGAGTACAGTTTTCCAACAACTACTTTGCTTATTCTCCCATCTGTCTGAAGAACCACGACCATCAAAAGCTGATCAAATTAGCCAGTTTCCTTATTTGTTTGTATGTTTTTGCCAATACTAAACTGAAGTTACAATTACATCACGAACCAGACCATATTCTCACATTATAAATTGGTCTGCTTTTTTTTCTTTTTTTTTTTTTTCAAACCTTTTAACCAAAGATCTTTGCTCTGTTCTAGCATGGCTGTTTTTGTATTTGCCTGAGCTCTGCTCAGTATTTTATGTTTTTGGATTTGTTTTTGACTGAAAGTGATGCTTTTCAAATAATTTAATATTGTTACATTCAGATCAGGGGATTCTACACCAAAAAATGGAAACTATTCTTTCTCCCCGTACAGTCAGCTCACCTCTTTTCCCTCTAACTGTACCCCTTTGCAAACATGAAGTAACACTGCTCAAATCCATGTCCTCAAGCTTCTTGCTACAGCAGCTCTGCAATCTCTGTTGATGCCTGCACAGGTCATACTACGGCGACTACTAACTATCATGTCACCTAGCGAAGAGCGGCCAAATCACGAAGTTGGGGAGGGGGGAGAGGTCCACACATCTCTGGAGGGCACAGCCGGGTTGGCGCACGGGTGGGCAGAGAGGAGGGAATACGACTTCACATGTGAAGAGGAGAGGTTTTTTTTTTTTTTT